TAGATAGATAGACGGATGCAAGAAAGGCAGATAAATGGATGAAAGATGAATTAACAAATAGATATATAGATATACTGATAAATAAATAGATAGACGGATGCAAGAAAGGCAGACCGAATAATTTTCCTAAATCTGAAATAAATAGAAAAACCTTCAAGTGCCAAAAGATAATAGATACAAAAGGAAAATAATAAAAAAAAATATTTGTTGAAAATAAGATTTATGATATCAAACCCCCCCCCACCTTATTCCATAATCACAATGCGTCATATGTTACGTATTTGTGCGTCATAATGACAACAATGAGTAATGACGCAATATAAAGAACCCGCCTCACGCACAACTTCAAACAAAAATTGCACCGCGTGGAAATATTCAATAATATTTTGAATATTCACAGTACTTACAATGTACAGACAAATGAATAAACTTTTCTGTTAAAACATAAAAAAAGTCAGAGAAACGCAATAAAATATATATATAGGGGTGAATATTTTTAAAAACAAATCCCCCCCAGAAATTATTCCATGTTGTAAGGGGTTTGTTGCCCAAAAATCAAAATCCAACCCACCCCCCTCCCAAAAAAATATCATGGTCTCTAGTCCTTTTATCAGTCAAGAATTGATTTGTTATTAACCTCGTTAGTTAAGAAAAAACAAAAAAGAACATTGCGGTACAAGTTGCTAATTGCAATGCAAGCGGCAAAACATTTTATAACATAAATACAATAAAATTACACAATAAACATAGTAAAACGTTATGAAATCAAGAAACTCAGTGAAAAGCAGCAAGTCAACATATGTCATATATAGTAACACGTGAAGCATAGTATAAATACGCAAGCATTGGCGTAATAAAATATGAGAGATAAGATAACAAACAAACAAGAGGATTTGGGGGGGGGGATGAACTGTTTTTATAGGGGAGCAAAATTTAATTAATGCGTATTAGGCAAGAATAAGATCCAAAACATAATATTTTTAGCAACATTTTCTGTAAACTTTATTTTTCGCTGTCATTTTAACACTTTCTAAAACTTGGATTCACCTTTTTCAAGCACTTTTCATGCACTACTAAGATTGAAAAATGAAATTTTAAAAAAGTTCACGTCTCTACAAGATTTTGCGCAGAAATAATTTTTGACGGGAATTTTATAACTTAAGAAGTTGTCAGATTAGTTTGTAGTTGCCAAGGAAAGTGCAACCGTATTTCAAAGCTCTGAATATCAGAAAAATCTTAAAATTAAATGACTTGGGTCATGCATCTTGCAAACTCCTTCATAAGCTAAGTAAATATGTTAAAGATTTCACCAGTATTTAAAAATTGACTTAATTTAGGCTTTTCATTTTGGCCAGGAAAGGGGGGGGGGGGTAAATGCGATACAATTTTTTTGTTTAAAGACGACATTTTAATACCCAAAACGGCGATCATCAACTGAAACCTTCTCAATTAGCCTTTGGGAAGCAAACCTTACGTTATTGCGACTTAAAATGAACTAGATTAAGTCAGAAAACCGGGAGATTAAACTATTATGCTCGAATTAAGACTGTAAAATATCAAACGGCGATAAGCAAAGTCTCTACAAGTATTAGGTCTGATAACTTATAGGCCCGGTATCTACATCATCAATCTGAAAACAAATATGTATACTTTGCCCAGCTGTAGCCTTGACCCTAACAAGATATAAGAAAGTAAATATATTGAAATGAATAAAAGTTAGAATTATCTGAGTTGCTTGTTTGTACAATGAATCAGTCCCAATGCTAGCAAGGAAAAAGAGATATATTCACTATTCTCATTGCTTAAATACTTATTTGCACTCTTATATATTAGTTTGACAACTTTATTAGAAACTGTTCCTAGTTCAGTAGGACTGCTCCCGAAGAAAAATTGTGCATCGTCTAATCTAAAACATCAATTAAAGGGACTGTTAAAGGGAGTGACCGGCACTGTATGCTAGTTGAACTGAGAATGTAGTACTGTGGAGAAATTTTAGGATCCAATTGAGACACAAATAAATAGTTTTAATGATGCATAATTACTGAGATTGAAAATTATTAAATAACGACAGCGCAAAATGTATCAAAATTTCTACAGTTTTTCATCATTATATTGAATTTCTTATTCTTAAGAATTTGTTCGCAGATTTCAACAAATAATTCAACTGAATAAGATTAGTTATTTTCGGTGATAAGAGATAATTTTTATTTTCTCAACCTGTTCCTTAAGAGCTAATAAGTTAACTGTAGAATTTGCGTTACATATTTTGTCGTCATTTAATAATTTAAAAAAAAAACGATTCTCATGGTCTCTACGCTCTTTGGCATTAGCGTTTTCAATAATTTTCTCTTTGTAGACGCAACACATAATTAGATCAAATAAGATTTTTAGGAATTTAGCTTGATCATATTTTCCGCGAACACTCCCTTTAAACGAAGACAGAAGAATAAAATATGTGATGACAGGGACTAACCTTTCACTAAGAGCCCGGCAGCATGTTTCCACTTCGTTATATACTTCCTCTGAGTTTAGTAGTTACATTAGGGTAAATTAAATTGTCTATACGCAATATCCGCTCAAGGAACTTCTGGCCTACTAATTTTCCGACCTACTGTCCGAAATGGGTCGGAAGTGTAGCATAGCGGATGCTGCGTAGATCAGAAGTAAAGTATAACGGATGTGCGCAGGTCGAAAGATACACCATCTTACATTAACAGCCTAGCAGGAGTTTATTTAAATTTAAAAATAAATGTCGTCTTTTTAATTTATTAGCGACATTCAGTCGTGAATCTAGTTTTACCACTTCTACCACTAAAGTATGCCGAATCCATTAGCGCCTGATCTAATCAGGGTTCAGTCTTGTGTTTGGTGTCTATTCTGAACCAATAGAAATTGCACGGCGGTAACATCTATCTTTCTATCTAGTTCATTATAAATCCTTATATCGGTGCTATAACAGTAAATGGAAATTTTTACTTCTACTGAAACTAAAGTGAATTAAAACTTAGCAAACAGAGGTCGTAAGAGGTCATTGGAAGGTAAAACACTGGATTTTTTTCTGATGCCATTTTGCCTGGATTCCTAGCTTTCGTTTTATATGTGGAAGCCAAGTTAAAACATTCTAAATTTTGAGGTCATAAGAGGTTGTTTTAGGTCGTAAGAGGTAATTTTAAGGTCAAACACTGGATTTGTTGCTGCCACTGTATTACCTTGGTTCCTAGCTTTCGTTTGATATGCATAAAGCCATAGTTGAAATATTTTTATTTGTCGAGGTCATTAAAGGTCAAAAGCGGTCATTAGAGGTCATGTGTCCAATTTTATTTAATTTTCCACCATCCCCTTTAAACACAATATTTTTCACTATATCCAGCAACTTCTTCTTTACCCTTACTAATTAAATGTTTGCAAACGACTGATCCCAATTAGAAAAGTGAAAAAATATTAGAAAAATCGGCTTCACGTCAAAATTTGCCAAATTTAAAAATGGAGTAAAAATGAATCAATAACCACGTAGCCAACAGTCAATGTAACATTCCTACAGATTTCGAGCTCCAGCCCAGTGCACTCAACTTCTTCAAAATCTGAAGATTATTCAAATTATTGATTATTCATCAACACACTTTCTCACATATCTATCAATTAAAAACTAAGCAATCAACAACACAATTTACATGTGTATTAGTTAACAAATAACTTAATGAATAAGTTAAAAATTAATCAATAAAACAATTTCATCAATTAACTATTCATTTAATTAACAAATTAATCAATTAACAAATCCATTATTAACCAATCGATAAATCAACCAATTAAAAGAATCAATCAATAAGAAATCTTAAAATTAACTAGTTCTACAATCAAATAATCTAGCAATCTGAACCAACTAAATTACAGATTAATCTATTCAGTAACAGATTAATTTAAAAACACATATTAATTAGGAAGACCATTAATCGATCAATTAAAACTCAAGAATGAAAAAATCCTCCAAAATCACAATGCGAATTGCGACAATATGGCGTAGTTTTACCTGTCGTTTTTTCTGCCATGTTAGAATATGGTTTAAAGGCCAGGGATGAACTGATGCATACCGTGGGACAGTTACTTCGGAAAGGGTAACCTATAATACGTAAAAAATACATTTCTGAGTAATGGTGTGTATATATCCTTCCCCTCTCTCTAGCGAACCATCTCTTTTTTAAAAGAAGCACAGAATTTGGTAATGAGATTTTAATAGTAAAAAAATAGCTATATAGACCCTAACGCCGCCATAGTTCTGAACAGTCACCAAGCACTCCAGGAAACCCAGATTGGATTAGACGCTACCGGACAGTTAAAACAAGGGTGATAGCGGGGAAGGGCTGGGTAAAATTAGAAGCTTTAGAAAAAATAAAACACTCCAACTAGCAAGCTTTATTCACCATTTTTCAACAATTATTCAACAAAGAAACCTATTTGTTTTGTGGGGGAAAGATGAAAAATTATTGTGGAAAAAGTCACACTAGGGGCGATAAAGAATCTTTTTTTTTCAACATAATTTAGAGCCTGGATGGGATTTTTGTGTTATTCTGCACAATTTGAAGAATTCATGATTCTGAGCGTGGATGGTTGGGTGTTGAATCATCAAAATTTCAAATATTTGTCTCCATCAAAATTCGATCGTCATTAAATTTTTTAAAATTTTGAAAATCCGCGAAATTTTTTGTGAAAATCCGCGAATTATTTTTGTTTTGTTTTACGATGTACACAAAGAGAACATGTTCACAATTAATTTAGGAGATGGGCGCGAAGCGCCCTCTAAGGCTAGAAAGAAGGGCGCGAAGCGCCTTGAATTTCTAGTGCCTCAAATTTTGATTGGAAATTCGAGAAATGTAATAAATTTGGATTTGCGATTCTAAGTTCAGTGGGTCCACATTTATTGGGAAAATAGCTAGAACGGTAATTTACGACACAGCGCGGGTAAACGGTGGGAGTTACTATGAGACAGTACCCTGGGAAAACGCTGGCTTCTCAAGCTATTTAATTACTAATAATTTCAACTGACCTAGAGACATGTACGCACGCATGTCAGCTTTCTGACTGTTGTCCAAGTTCCCAGTTAGGCTTATTCCCTGAACAGATTATTCCCAATATAACTTTTACAATTATCAAATTAATTCCTCAGATAATTCTTAGTGCAGAAAATTATGTAGATGTAAAAACCAAATTTAAAAAATTCTGAGATATTTATGTAAAATTGAAAATTAAATTCCCAGTTAATAATTAGATAATTATGTAAATGTAAAACCCTAGTTTAACTTTTCCCTGAAAACCAGTGTTTAGGATCCGTGATTTGCGCATTTCTTGCTTCAGAAATAATGAAGAAATTATCTGAATTTAATACTTTTCAAGCAAGAAAAACGACGTTATCTTTTACATCATTGATCTAATTTAAGGTTTCAACTTTTCAAGGGTACCTCGGCCATAGCCCTTTTTATTTACTGGAAGGTCACTTCAAATTACGAGGATAGTCTCTTTAACAAATTTAAAACTTAAAAACCTTGGTGTTCACAAAGCTGACAATGGGATCCATTTCTGCGACGACAAATGCTCCAGCTTTGATAAAAGGAAGACGACCTGACGGCGACATCTCCTCAGCATTCGACCTGAAAAAATTAGGTTAAAGGGTCCATTAAATAAATGACAAATTTTTGGTCGGAGTGCAAATTTGTTTCAGTAATATTCGCTGAATTGGGCTGAATCAGCGATTTTCTGAAAAAAATTGAAATTTGCGTTAACTTCCAAAACATTTAAAAAAAAGAGTAAAAGCTGAATTGGGGCAAATTAATTATTTTTGGCGTAAAAAAGCCTTTAAAACGGTAAGAAACAAATGCATAAATTTTATCATTAAAAAATCGTAAAAATCATAAAAAGGTTAAATGCTTGCAGTCTTTAAACTCTCTTACAGTTCATATCACTGTGGGGTGCACATTTTCTCGAAAAATTAAAAATATTTACCTCATTTCAACGACAAAATCAAGACCGGCCATGTGAAGAAATGCTTGAACAGCCATGGTTGATGCATTGTCAGGCAATAAAATCTGCTCAACCTAAAATGTAACAGCCTAAAAAAAGGTCAAAGAGTACACTCAGGGGGGGTTATGATATTTTCTAGAGGGGGGGGGGGGGGATTAATAATATAATTGCGCTCGAGCGCCCGATTTATGGAACAGTTTGTCGGTAGAAGTTAAAAAACTCTAGAAGTCATAAAACAATTACTGAGTGAAAAGTGGCGGCGAAGGCAAAATTTTTCAGTCTTTTCTTTTAAATCAAAATTTAGGGGCTAGAAGTTGCCTGTTCAAGCCAAATGCAAATATTCAAACCCCCCCCCCCCCTTTAAGACCCGTGGTTGGGGTGGGGCGTTCGGCACGTTTGACCGCGCTTGACCTCGTATGTCTGATAGAGGGCAACGTCTTGAGGCCATGGTTCAGCTGATCCGAGCTCTACAGACAAGGATTGGGTCAACAATACGTTGGCGGTCATTTTACCTATCATCAATTACACTGAAATATAGAATAATAACATTTCACTTCTATTCTTTATCACTTTCTGTCCCTTGTGGCTTTAAAAAAAGAAAGAGGTGAGGCACGGAGAGTGGAAAGGTCAAATTACCCTTAAGGGTTGGTGTATAGACCTGAATTTATATATTATAATAATAAAAAATCATCCCTCACTCAGATTAAGGTAGATATAAGTCTCTGTTTAAAAATGAAATATGAAATTTGAGAAAAATCGTAATAAAAGCCCTTAAATACTTGAGGTTCAATGGTCGGTAATTTCCTAGTATACGATTTTTGGTCCCAATGGTCTAAAGCAAGAACAAGATTAGAATAACTATTTTATAAAAAAAGTTACATATTAACAATTGTTAAAGCTAAACATTTCAAGTGGCTAAAAACAAAAACTGTTATCTGAACCTAAACGTTTAAAATTAAGAAATACAACTTATAATCAGTAATTTCGATTTAAAAACTCAACTTTCTTTACATGACCTAAGTGGACTAACGACATTTACTTAACTACATTTGTATCAGCCAAGCAGCATGTTCAGAGTTTTATTAGTTTAGAAGTTAAACGTCGTAAATTTTACTTTTTACACGAATTCTTTAGAGCGATTTATTCTCGCGATTGTGCAGAGTTGTTAAAAATATAAAGCTATCACATTCACGTTATGTAGATCACGATGTTGAGGATAAATAGTAAAAACTGCAGAGAGGAGGAGTAATCATCTGACATTTTGGTTGAGAAGTGTCTGTTGTCATCTGACCAACTTGGTAAGTTTCGAAAAACCAGCAATGTTTCATTCAACCATTATAGTACAATCCATTTTTTTCTTCTTCAGAATTGATCTTTTGTTTGACCATTTAACCATAATTTGAAAATTGACATCTTAAAGTATATATATATGACTAATGATTAAAAATGAAAAAAGTCACAAATACCCAGAGAAAGTATTTTTAGTTAAGTTAAAAAAAATTCTATTTATCCTAAAATTTACAAAGACAAATTTTTTTAGATCAAAGATAATGTAATTAAAAGCAACAAAATTGTTAAATATACTACAAAAATGTGTGAGAAAAAATGTTCAAATCTTTTATTTACATGAATTTCTGCACTGAATGGTTAAAATGATCAAACGTACAAAAATTTTCAATTAATTTAACAAATGACTTCAGCACTTTAGTGTGCAAACTGCAAATTAGCTGCTTAAACATATTTTAAACTTACAGCCCTTTTAAGTTCTTTCAATCCTCATAATAATCTTTATTTCGAACTTTACACAAGGTGCAAAAAATACTTGTTGTGGCATTGCGCGAGACAGAAAAGAAATATTTCGAAAAATTGTAAACATTTAACCGTTGCAATTAGCTTAGTTTGGAGAAAACCACTCTTCCTCTTTGTCCAGCGAAAGTAACACTGAATGTTTACTGCAAAGAACTTAATTTTGTTTAAAGCTTTAATATTGTCATTTTTTTTATTTAGAACAACAGCAGCACATACGAATAAGGCATTATATCGTACAACTTTTCCCCCTTAATGATAAATTTCGTTATAATTACATTTGCGCGCGATCCGTAAAAAGGCGAATGCCCAACTCACCGTTTCGTAAGATCACTTAGTATTATGCGCTAAAAATTCAGTGTTTAACTTTGACGAGACAAAGCTTTTAAGGGTACTGTTGTTTATAAATATGCCACTATTTCTCAATGTAGGGGTTATTAAAATTATGCTTCATATCTTTTCAATAGTTCCTCTTTTCAGATTGTAAATTATAATCTTTATTTAACTAAAGTTTTTAATCTATCTGCCATGAACTCCAGTAAATCTGGGAGGCCGAAACGGAAGTTGTTGGACGACTCGACGTTATCTAGTCCTCGGAGGTCAGAAAGAATAAAGGTAATATAAAATACTAGCTGATATATTCAATTTTTTTACCATGGGCAACGCCGGGCCTATCAGGGGGTCTGTTCTAGTGCACGATTTTTGGACCCCCCCCCCCCCTCCTATCAATTTTGTACTTGGATCTTACTGAAAGTGTCTTAACTTAACCTAACCCGTTGCCGCAGCGCTCGGCCCAGAAAGTGTCTTAACTAACATAACCCGTGGCCGCAGCACTCGGCACCCTAGCTTATTCTAGCCGCAGCGCTCGGCCCAGAAAGTGTCTTAACCTAACCTAACCCTAAATAGTAATAAATAAATACTAATTTACTAATTTCGTCATGTACAAAAATTATAGGAGGGGGGGCCTGGGGGGGGGTCCAAAAATCGTTCACTAGGACAGACCCACTGATAGGTCCGGCGTTGCCCATGGAAAAAATTGAATGAAAGATAAAATTTTAGAAGGAATTAAAAAAAAAAATTTTTTTAGCCGTTAACATACCCCGGCCACCCATTAGTGTCCAAAAAAAAATTTCAGCCCAATCGGTCCAACCGTTTGGCCGGCTATACGCAACATATATATGTATGTCTTGTTTTATTATATAAATTGTTTTTTAAAGTTGAATTGCCTCTAACCTAATCGGGAAAGATCTAGTTTTCGACTTAATGTAGTGTTGACTAACATATATTATATGCTAATTTTATATCCTACGAAATACTTGGGGGTGCTGATGGGTTTATCAACGCTGATGGGTCTCTACAGAACAATTAAGAATTGATAATTTCTGTGAAATTGTTCTTTATTGACAAAATATGAATACAATTTGAACATTTGTTAATTCCTATTTTTGATTCATTTCCTTGTTTTATCAGGAGTCCCCCTCGGTGGATTACTCCTCTTCAAGTCTGCAGATGAAAAGATCAACTCTAAGAGAAAGATCAGCTTTAAGGGAAATATCAGAACTCAAGGAAAGATCGAGATCGAGATCAAGATCCAGGGTTTTGAGGACATCACATGGTAAATGTTTTTTTAATTTATCCTTGTCCAAAATAATGCATTGTGCATTATTTTAAAACGATCTTGAAACCCTTTTTCCGTTGGTAGGGGGGGGGGGGGAGCCGTCAAATCGGCTAACAAGGCTTGGGTGTTCGTTGTGGAAAACTAGACTTAAGAATATTACAGATTGTTTACAATATTACAAGCAGGGCCGTTACTTGGGGTATCCGATATGATCAACATGACAATTTTTTTAAAGATAATACAGTAATTATTAGATTAGAAAGATCAGAGTGTATATTTAGTTTACTAGAAACAAAAAAATTTAGCTAGAATGACTAATACAAATAATAAACTTGAACCGTTCTATGTGATATCATCATATTTCAGCTAAAATTACCAGTTTTGATAATAAACCAAATTACATTTTTATTTGTAAGCTACAGTTAACATGAANTTTAATATGAAAATATATAACATGTTTATTCAGGGTTGGAAAGCGAAAATAGAGATACTATTAGACAGAGGTAATATTCTTTAACTCTGTAATAAATTAATTATTAAAATATGATTAAAAGAAAAGTATAAATAAATAATTTGGTAAAGTTGATAACTATTTTTAAGTGAGACAACCAATTTAAGCTTTTTTACCATTGGCTTGACTCCCATCATTGAATTGAGAGGGGGAAGGCCCGCTACAACAATTTCTCGTCCGAGTCACATTATTCTCATTTTCTCGTCTGAGCCACCTCAAAATCATAGTCCTTCGTGTGTCTAAGTGTCGAATTCTTCAAGAAAAAACTAGTTATACAAATTTGGCCACGTTAGTCACCTAAGGAACTAGAAAATGAGGAGACTGTGGCTCGGACGATAAATTGTTGTGGCTGGCCTTCCCCTCGGATAACCTTGTTTGGTTTGACGATTTATTTGTAGGATCCGAGGTTTAGATATTCAGTCTGATGACGAAGATGAGCTTGATTCTTCATCTATCAGAGGTTCCTTCTTTTAAAAATAAAACATATTCATAAAGCAAATATATATATATATATATATTTCAGAATTACCATAATTATTTTTGATGCTTGTTGCCCAAAAAGATTTTCAGCAAATATTGTGGCGACCCCTATATTTGTTAACCTGAACATACTTAGATGTATTGTGCATTGTCTGCAAATCTAAATGTGCTTATCATTAACTACGCAAAACTTGTGTGATTAACCTAGCCTAGCTTCATCCGTAAATTCGTCAAACCAGTATTGTGATAAGCTTAACTATGCTTATATATATCTGTGCAAATCTTGTAAATATGTACAATAACTTAATCTGTAACATGGATATCTAAATACACGTCAGTTGGAATAGACTCTGATTTGATAACAATTTGAGAGTAATTGTTTCTTGGTTAGCAAACGAGAAGCTTCCTGGGTCACTTTCCTGGAAGATAGATATTGATTGGGATTAAATTGATTGTATCTGTAGGACAGATACCTGAGAATTCAGACAGAGCTGTATCCAGATTGATATTGGCTATGGTATTCGTATGAACCTTGAGTTCCTGATTAAGTTGTACCTTGATTGTTCCCTTATTGGGGTGTAATCGGGGTTAGATTCTGCGATGAAAATGTGCTTATATGCTTTGAATAAATGTGTCACAAACTCTTTTTTAAACTATATATCTTTGTAACCTGAGGCCGAATTTAAAGAATTTGAGCTGAGGCTCAAATTCATTAAATTCGGGCCTTAAAATATTAATTTTGTTAGATGAAATATTTAAGGAGTACACCATCACTGATCAGGTTGCAAAGATATAATTATATAGGGGTAAGAAAATTAGAGTTTGTGTCAAGGCTTCAGTTCCTTAACATTTACTCTGAAGAGGTCTGAACTTTTGTGTGTAGTGATCGTTTATCTTGAACACTTTATCTCGATATTTATTATGGGCACTTTTGAAAAAACTTTTTTACTCCTAAAACTCAAATCTGAACTTAAAAAAAGAGATTATAAAAATTTCCTCATTTCTGAATAGTTCATCAAGTTTGAGGATAAAAAAAAGCGAAAAAAATTTTAGCAAAATTTTTGAAAATTATTTTTTGTTAAAAAAAAATTCAGTAAATCTTAAAGAAATGACCTGATCCGGATTCGCATCAAAATTAAATGGATCCTAAGCACTGTCTGCGGGGTATAACCACTATGACATATTGAAGAGGAATAAAAATAATCTGTAGACCGTATGTCTGTATATGATAGAGTTCAATGCTTGATTGACAACAGAAAAGTTCAAATTACCTTCTTCTGGACTAATAAAATTTTATTTTATATAAAGAGGTCAATACCCCATTTACAACAGAACCCTTGAAATCTTTGACTGTTGATTGAGTCGAGTGTACAGTCTGAACTACAGCTGATCTGTTACTTGCGTAACACGAAACACCATCAACTGTTGTTACGCTAACATCAATTTTAAACATTTAAAACCATTCTAAGGTTTTAAGGGTACCATTGTGTATCGGGGATGCTCCTCTTCAAATGAAAGTTCACTTGAAATTACTCATATAGTCCCTTAAATTTATACTCCAAATTCACAGGAGATATCAGACAACCAGGCAGAAGACTTGATAAATTAAGTTTTAAAGAGACCTTGAACAGATACAGAAATTCTTCCATCCAGTTATTCCAGGTAAATCATTTTACTGAAAAGTTTGGAATTCAGAATTCAAAATTTTTCTATAAAATATCCCCCCCCCCCCATTAAAAAAGGAAAAGGTGTTTTTTCCATAATGTAATGCTTGGTTATTAGGGTGACTCAAATTTGTGTAAATTTTACCTTTTTTTAAATTTTAACATGCACACAGTCTCAAATTGTTACAGGGGATATGTAGAGCACCTACCCAAAATGGGGTCTTTATCTTATTGGGATCAGCTACATGTAAAAGTTGAGTGTTGCTGCTAAAAGGTTATTTTTAAGTTCAATTAAACTATATTTATTAGTTCAACCATAGGTTGATTTCACTTTTTAGCAAATAAAATCATATCAGACAATAAGCACTGGTTTTAGGTACTTTAAGGCTTCAGCAATTTCAGTTTTAATTGCCATATATTTTAATATCAGTTTTATATGCTCACAAACCACCAATAGCACATACAGGGGTTGGTCCTTATAATGAGATGTAACAACAAATCCATTCATAATAGGAGGTATATCAAGGTAGCTAAGAGCAAAGAGGTTCAACAGGTAGCAGTTCATTGCTAAGTGGTCAATCGGTTTGATAGTTGATAGCAAGGAGGTCAATCAGGTAGTTCATAGTTAAGTGGTCAATCAGGTCGATGGTTTATAGCTAGGAGGTTTATCCGGTAGTAATTTATAGTCTTGGAGTCAATCAGGTAGATACTTCAGAGCTAGGGGGTCATAAAGGTAGCAGTTCATAGCAAAGGGTCAATCAGGTAGATATCTCTGAGATTGAGGGTCAGTTAAGTAGATAGTTTGTAACTAGGAGGTCAATCAGGTACCAGTTCATAGCTAGGGGGACAATCAGAAATCAATTCATATCCAGGGGGTCAATCAGGTAGCAGTTTATAGCTCAAGGGTCAATCAGGTAACAATCAGTTCGTAACCGGGAAGTCGATTATAGCTAGGGGGTCAATCAGGTATGTGCCGCGTTTAACGGAAACGGCTTACCGTGATTTCATGGCTAGTTGGATTTTAGGACCAGATATTTCAATCTCAGTTTACAAGTCAGAAGGCATTTTCTCAGTAAAACACTGTTATTCTCTGCAGCTCGAGTAGTTGTACAGGCTGAACAAGATGAAGAGAAGAAAGTGATTGGCAATAACTGAGCAAATATATTTCAAATAAACTGATCGATACCAACTATCCAAAACCTATCTTATCTGAAAATAAAGAAAATAGAGTACTAAAGAAACGTAAGGATAGAGGGTAAAAATGAATATATATATAAATGATATAGTGGAATAAATGCAGTTATATAAGTGGGGTAATCACAATTATAGATGATGACTTCTCTCACTCTCCATAGGTCCCAGAACTTCCAGTGATGAGAAATACTTGACTGCAAATCTAGATATAGATGAAATGCAGAAAAAGGTAGAAAGTTAATAGTTAGTGGTTCAATCTGGTATAAAGATCATAGCTAGGAGGTAAATCAGATATCAGTGCATAGCTAGGGGTTCAATCAGGAAGCAGTTCCTATCTAGGGGGTCAATCAGGAAGCTGTTTCTAGCTAGGGGGTCAATCATGAAGAAGTTTATAGTCAGGAGGTCAATCAGATAGATAGTTCATAGAAAGGGGTCAATCAGGTAAAAAGTTCAAATCTAAGGGGTCAATTAGGTAGATAGTTCATAGTTAAGGTGAATTAGGTATATAGTGCATTGCTCAGGTAGCAGTTTAACACTCAGAGGTCTAATTTGAAAACTAGTTTTTTGGTGAGTACACTTTTACAGTGATACAAGGGATATTTATTTAGCAATAATTCGATTTTTACATGTAGCTTCCTAGACATCTGTATTTTTTTAGTAGCAATTAAATGTATTTGGAACAACTTGGGTCTGTGTTTGTGTGGGTGTGGGTTAGCCTATTGTATAGCTTTACATTTTGAACTTTACATGTTTTCTGGTGTCTTATCAAATTTATTTTCCTGTAACATTTTCGGTGCTTAGGATCCAGATCTGTTGATTCCGTAGTTTTAGTTTTAGCATAAAGATTCACGGCATGGATCCGGATCCATTTTTTTAGATCCACAATAGAATTAAATCTACACTTAAAATTATTGACAATTATTTTTGATTGAATCTAGGTAAAAAAAATTTTGAAGGTGGGTTAAATTTTTAAGGATACAGTAGATTCTTTGTCATCAGTGAAGGACAGAAAATGGCCCGAGAAAGTCGAGGTGACTATTTTTTATTCAGGACCACATTTACTAGTTGATTGTATTTAATTTTTGCCTCTACATTCTGTCAAAATATGTTTTTTTTAATTTGGAAACTTTTTCTTTAAGTTAAGTATAATTTACTGAAAATCATTTCTTCCCCTTTCCCCCCCCCCCATTATTTTTTTTAAGGGGAAATTAAACAAAACTGGGTTAAAAAAATGAAATAAGATGAATAAACTTGTTTTTATTTTTTTCCCAGATTTCCGAAAAATTATCTTAAAAATATACACCCCTGTCTTCTTTTCTCCAAGGGTTTATATTTATACTTTTGGTGTTAAGAAAAGGCGTCAGGAAATTAAAAGTTAAAATGTACACTGTACTGTGAACACCAGTGTACACTTTCAGTGAACACCACTGTACAGTGTACAAGCATTTTATAATTTTGTTATATTTCAGGTTATTGAGTACATCCAAGGATTGGATTGGAAGAAACCTGCTTTCTGCCTTTTCCTTCTTATTTCGATGGCACTTGCCTATCGTGCTATTGTATTCATGCAGAAGGTAAATAACATATTAACTTATTTTGTTGATATTTTCAATCTTGAACGCTTGATCTCGATATTCAATGTGGGCACTTTTAAATTTGAGGATTAACGCTTAATACTTTACTGAAAATAAAGTATGTAATTAAGTAATATATTGAAAAGGAGTTAATAAATGCGTAGATCAACATGCACAATATGGAGATTCCGAGCTGTACAGCTCTTGTTCTGACTTTAAGAAGTACAACTACATTCAAGTACAACTACATTCTATTGATTTCTAAGAAATGCTAAATGCGTTTACACGTAAAATTATTTCGATATTGTCGAATGTCGATATTTATAAAGGGTAAAGCTTTTTTAGGTCTAAAGAATTGATGGAAAAATTATTTTTTAACTAGATGGAATGGCAGGTGTTTATTTTAAACCTAATTTTCATGCAGGACTCTGACCCTGACCGGTTTGTATTGGTGGTTGCCTGGCTGTTGGCTCCTTTACGTCAGCTGGTGGACGGGGCGCGCCTCGCTGCGCTCACACTCCCGGATTTTGTCGGTCGCAGAGAAACTGTTGGCGACTCAAGGCAGATCTCACTCAAACATAGTTAAAAAAATACATTATTTAACATATTTTATCACAATATGTATTGTAGTTATAATAACAATTATTAACTCATAACAAAAACGTTGATGCAGTCTGAAACATTCAGTTTTATTTTGGGATATTAAACTTGATGGTCCATTCTGATTCTCTCTTTTTTGCTTGAACCTTCTGAAAAAAGTTTGATCTGACATGCAGGGTTGATTTTGAGATACTTGTTGGGAAAATACTCGATCATGACAGGTTAAAAATTCTTCAAACCTACTAAATATTACATTTATTCAATTTTGATGCAGAGATATTGATCCAGATCCCGGATCAAACATACAAATATTTAGTTAAAGGGAGTGTTCGCGAAAAATGAAAGGGAGTATAGGCTTAATGCGATTAAAAAGCGCTTTTGATCGCTACTAATCTTGCTTCTATCTGTTGCGTCTATAAGGAGAAAATTGTTAAAGACGTCTCATACCGAAGAATTCGTAGCGCCCATACAAATTGAGAAAATTGCAACATACGACTTAGACCGTAAAAAAATCAATTTAATTTCAAACAAATCATTCAGATAGTACAACTTATAGTCATCGATTATCTTTCGCCACATTTGTATATAGTTTATATTTTATAATATTTTTTAAATAATTTGTTTTGAATTTGATTATTTCTCTTGCTGCTTGCGCAACTATCTAAGAATGCCGCGCACCACTCACATCTTTCAAAATCCGTTAAAAACGTTTCTAAAAAAGTAAATGTAAAAAAATTAATTAAAATTTTTTTATAATATATAAACTTTATACAAGATCAGAAGGCCTTTCTTTACATCATCATTTGAGATTTGTGTTTCCGTTTATTTTTCATATAATTATATAATAATTAGACTCTTTTAGGTTCGGTGAGATAGTTGAACAGATCTCAAGCCGTCAGCTGAACAGGGCCCAGGGGGAGCTGAGCAGCAAGCTACAAGCGGAGTTCAAGGCGGAAATGAAGGCGGAGGAAGGGAACATCATATCTGTCCTTGAGGCGGAGATAAGACTTGTCAAACTCCTCATGAATGAAAAAATGCAAGAGGTAATGAAAAAAAAATTAAAACTTTTTCAGATCAGTTTATTTGGGAAATGCCAACAGTTTTTAAATAAGAAAATTTAGGTCATAGAGAGTTCTGAGACTGACACAAAAAACAAGATGGAAACCCTAGAGCTTAGTATACAAAATCTGAAATCAAAGATGGCCGAACTAGCTTCATCCAGCGGTCGAGAAGAAAATCCGCCAGATATTTCTGGATCCGTCCAAGTTCTGGAGAAAACACAGGAAAGATTGGACGGCCTAGAGCGGAGAATACCGGAGATAGAAGCCGACATCAGTCGCTGCTGTAGCAAACCTTCAGATTTAGAATTAAAAACTATCTATGAAGAACAAATGAGGGAATAAAGATAATTCTAAGAAATAATTATAAACTGCGGGACAGTGCTTAGGATCCGGATCCGTTTGATTCGCAAGATTTTGTCTTCATGGATCCGGATCTGTATCCGCTAATTAATGTGGATCCACGGATCTGGATCCGAAGGCAAAATATCAACCTAAAAACCCAAATCTGAACTGTTGAACTAAGAGAGATTATAAAAATTTCCTGATCTCTGAATGGTTCATCAAATTTCAGCATAAAAGTAAACGAAAAAAATGAATAATTTGACAATTCTGATTTGTTAAAAAAATTAAATAAATCTTAAAGCAATGTTACCTGGATCCGGATCCGGATTTGAAACTGGATTTATTATTTTCCAGTGCGGGCCCAGGATCCGGATCCGCATCAAAATTGAATGGAACCTTAGCACTGCTAGGGGTTGAATATTAGAAAATTTTATTTACGAATTTTCCAATTATCTTAATTGTTATGTAGTGCCATGTTAAACAATAAAAGTTCTGCTGTAGTTGAGAAGATATCGGAGCATTTTCTTCGTCCTGAGCAGCTGGACAGCAGGCTAGTCGGTCTACAGGCTCAACTCAATACTCTCAGGGACAACATTGATACCTTCCGGGGTATATATTTTCTTGAAAAATCATTCCCGACGTCTTCTTAAAAAAATCCCTGGACTCCTAAATCCTGACCCCCGCTCCCCCCCCCTTCATCTATGTTGTTATGTAAAGGGAAAGTTTATCCGCTGAGCTGAAACTAGAAATGGATAAAGTTAACCAGGAGTTAAACTCCCAGGTGGAAAGGGTTAAGCTGGATCTACAGAGTAAAACTACATCTGGGGTAAGTTTTTAGCAGTGTTTCGGATCCGGATCCGGATCCGGATCCGTATCAGGAAACGTTGATATGGATCCGGGTAGCGCCAAAAATTAACCCAAACCATGGAATAAATAAATCAAAATGGTTCGTAAATGTATAATTTACATGACGAAAATTTTTCAAAATTATCTTTAATAATTTAATGTTTACATTTATATAATATACATCTTTTGACAAAGAGATACTTGAGATTGCAGAATGCAGGGCGATTCCACATTTTCCGGAAAAACTATTTCTGCTGAAACAAATTTTGTAATAGACATACAAATTGAATGTTATTCACATTATCTTTAGTATGGATAGTCCTTCTTAAGCGCCTAAGGTTTCAGAAGTATCCGAGCGCTGCGCTTGGTAATGGTATGTCTGAATTTTCGTGCCAGAAGTTGTTTCTCTGGAATTTCTCAGACCTTGATTACCATCCAAATATCTAAACCATTTTCCTAAAGGGACTGTAAGCGAAAATTCAAGTGAACTTCTATGCAAAGAAAACAATGCCTTATTCACAACAGTGCTCTTCAACGCTTTGCCTAATCAAGTGTGAATTCGATATTCATGTTTATAATAATTGAAAATTATTTTTTTAAATTGTGGTTTCTCTACTTAAATGACTTGTGCATTTCTACTGTTGGAAATCGGGAATTACTAGAATTATATACTTCTACCTAGAAAAACGACAATATATCTCCTTGATTGATCAGGTTATAAGGGTACCGTTGTAAATCGTGCACTGTCAACATTGCATGGAATTACGCTTACAGTTCATTTAAAATATGCATATGATTTTACATTTTGAATTTAGGGTATATCCGCTGGATCAAGTGTGATGGTGGATCAGGTTGTCAAGAAAGCTTTGGCAAAGTACGATGCTGATAAAACCGGTTTGTTTGACTTTGCGCTGGAGTCGGCAGGGGGCAGCATAGTCAGCACCAGGTAGGGGCAAGACAGGTTCAAGGGACTTTCTGTCAGGGGTGTGAAAAATAATTCCCCCCCCTTCCCTTTTTGTAAAAATCCTTGGTTTTAAGCATTATTGAACTCAACTTGTTTGGGATAAGTTTGGAATATTTGAAATTACTAAAACGACAATTAATGCTTGTAAGTTAGTCGTACCCTTTGTATCCCCCCCCCCCCCCTTGATGTTGTAAAGATAATCTCAATATGTATAAATTTTGTTAGTTAGTGAAACAATAGATAGATTGTGAATTTATAGATGTACTGAAAACTACGAACTCAGCAGTGCAGTACTATCCATCATGGGAGTTCCCATTTGGTGGGAAACCAACACGCCAAGGTAATAAGGGAGTTTTGTGGGAAACGAAAACAAAAAGGTAATATGGCAGTTCTCATTTGGTGGGAAACCAATACGCCAAGGTAATATGGGAGTTTTCTTTTGTTGGTAAACCAATGATGTTCCCATCTGTAAAATATATTATTTCTATTTCTCCCAAGGGTGCATTTTTTTAAGAAATTTGAAGATCTTAAGAAAACAAATGAAAAATTGGACTTCAAAGGAAGTTTTTCATCATTAGTCATACTTTTTACTTAAATTAGTTATTTTTATTTTCTCCAATTCAGCGAAGAAAACCTAAAAAAAAGCAGTCATACTTTTTACTTAAATTAGTTATTTTTATTTTCTCCAATTCAGTGGAGAAAACCCTAAAAAAAACATATTTAACTTCCGAGGGAAAATGATTTTTAAAGAAAATAAACACCCCTGATTTCTTCAATACATATACCCCCCTGGTTTTGTAAAACTAGAAGATGTTAATTCTAAACTTATCAGATCTATCCTTCAACCTGGAACTGCCCCTGGTGAGTGCTGGGCCTTCAAGGGATCCCATGGGAGTGTGGTTGTAAAACTGTCCGCCAGTATTATGGTAATATATTGTTTTAAAGAAAAATTAGCCCCCCCCCCCTCATTATTTCTGATGTATTTTTTGTTTGTTTTTTTAGTCGCATAATTATCGGGTGAGGAAGTAATTGAGTAAGCGTTCCAGTTATTTATTGATTGAATAGTTTTTTGTATGGCTTGGGTAATTGTATATCGATAAATTGTTTATTTGTTGATTGATTTACTATTAAGTGCCATTGATCATTGATATTTAATTGATTGATGGTCAGGTAAGAGCAGTATCAATTGAACACATTTCCCCTCTCTCTACCCCCGACGGTCAACTTTCCTCAGCACCCAACCAGCTCTCCTTGGCAGGTAGAGATCTAATTAGTCAATTATTTTTTCAACGATAATCATCATTATCTCTCCGGATCAGAGTAGCTAAAGAAACTAATAATATTAACGTTATAAATTATTCTATTGAAACGTCTTACATTGGTAAGGGAAGGAAAGTGCTCTTCCCACACCTGGCGGTGGTCTGGGGGTCTAAATTGGGGTCGCTTGCAGAGTCCATTTCCTTTACATTAGATCTTGTTAAAACTGTTTTAAACTGATCGATTAAGTAGTTTTTGTTCATTCATGACTCATCTATTTTGAAAATAAACCAAAACAACTGAATTAAATTGAACTCCTGTAACATACTGAGGATAGAGATTGCTTAATTGATAGATTAACTGCTTGATTGATTGATTGATTGATTGATTGATCAGGTTGTATCTGAAAGTTTTGCGAGTATTCTCTTGAACTCCAGTAATCTACTGAGGATATAGATTGACTGACTGACTGGACTGACTGGACTGACTGGACTGACTGGACTGACTGGACTTACTGGACTGACTGGACTGACTGGACTGACTGGACTGCGACAAGTGATTGTTGCTTCCCCTGTACCCCTGGCTAATTTAACCTACGACTAGGGATGGATCGTTTTCATTATTTTGAAAACCAATTGTTCCGTCATGAAAATGACGACGAAAAAACGAAAAGCGAAATGATCGTTTTTAAAAACGATCTTTTTTTAACTCGTTTTTTAAAAACGGTCGTTTTTATAAAGTTCTTCATTTCGTTAACGATCGTTAACAACGTACCTTTGTACCTTTGTGATAAATGATTCCCATGTACCCCTGGCTAATATAGCCTTCCACAAGTGATTGATTGATTAAAGATTGATTGATGATGCCCCTGTACCCTTGGCTAATATAACCAACGACAAGTAAGAGATTGATTGCTGTTTTCTCTGTACCCCTGGCTAATATAACCTACAACAAGTTATTGATTGATTTAGGCTTGATTGATGATTCCCTTTTACCCCTGGCTATTATAACCTACAAGTGATTGATTAAAGATTGATTGATGATGCCCCTGTACCCTTGGCTAATATAACCAACGACAAGTAATTTATTGATTAAGGATTGATTGATGATTCCCCTGTACCCCTGGCCAATATAACCTACGACAAGACTGGAGACCCAGTTCAGACATTTTGGATTGATAACAGTCAACAGAGGTAAAATTGAAAAGTCAAGCATTTTTTTCGGTGAACGGATTTCTTTAGAAATACATTTTTATATTAAGTTGTTCAAGATTATATTCACAGCAATAAATCTTAATCTTAAAATTCAAAGGAGACAAAGTTTTTTAAAGTCTTTGTTTTTTAAGTCTTTATTTGAAGAAAAATGTTAAATATTTTTAAGCTAATTTTTCATATTCTTTTCTTTTGTTGTTCCAAATTCCCCCCCCCCATCCCTTCTGAAAAGAATTAATTAAGTTTAGACTATTATTTTCATTTTTCTCTGGTAGTAATATTAAAATGATTAAGCATCATAATAAACAGTTATGATTGAGGATATTTTTAAGGTTTGATACTGTGGAGTTAACTATTTTATCAAACCATGGACATCCAGAGTACACTTGTCTGTACAGAATCAGGTTAGTTACATTCTTAACTCAGGGTTCAGGTGAAATTGTACCGTACCCACTCCTTGTACCGACACAGCTTTTAGTGACGGATAAAATTGTACCCTATCTACTTCTTGTACGGGCATGGCCTTTACCTTCTTCTTCTGTGTTGATTCTCAGCAGTCCCGGTGGGACCATTATGAGAATTTCTGCCAGGCAATGAACTGTTGTTCAGGACTTCTGCAAGGCTGGATTTAGATAGCAGCAACAGTTCTTGTGCATAGCTACTCATCATATCGGGATTTGAACATATTGATAGAGGTTGAACTTTTGACATGGGCTGGTAGTCTGTTCCATATATCTGGTACTCTGATACTAAAGAAATTCCTTCTGATTTCAGTCCTTGAAAAAGAGGATTCAAGGTTTGCTGGATCAGCATTCAACCTTGTTCTTCTGGTCTGGTTGATTTGTTTGAACCAGGTAGATGAGTCAACCCTGTAACGGATAAAATTGTACCACACTTAACTACCCACTTTTTGTACTGGCACGGCCTATAGTTACAGACGAAATTGTACTTAACCAACTTCTTATACTGGCACGGGCTTTAGACTGTACTCGCTTCTTGTAACTGCACGGCACAAAGTGATTTATGAAATTGTACCGGCACGGCCTACAGTGACAGATAAAATTGAACCGTTATCCACTTCTTGTAATCTAAATTATATGATGGATGATAAGAATTGATTTTCCTCCTCTCAAAATCAGCTATGTAGGACGCATACAGTTTATCTTATTTTAACACTTTTTCACTTATTTTTCTTAAGTGCATTAATTGTTTTATTTTAGGGTGCACGGTGATATAGAAGGAGAGGAGAAGGTTCACTAAAATATCTACTGATCTCATCATAACTTATTTCTTGTTCAGGATTTCCCTTTTCACTTCCTGGATTTTCCTTCCACTTCCTGTATTTTCCTTCCACTTCCTGTATTTTCGTCAATTTCCCAATGTTACCTGAAACCATAATGATACTTATCTCAGTCAATATTTTTTTGCCATAAAACTATTTAATGTCCAGTAAGCTTAAAATAATTGTGACATTTTCCACCGGGCAACCATGATTTAATCAGGTGTAATTAAGTTCAGTTTCTTGATATTCATTCCGAATTTGATTCTTGGGTTTACTAAATTTTTGTAACAACGTTCGTCTCTCGATATTATTAATTTTATGGACTGCAGATGACGAAAGAGGTTATTTTCTTTGATTTTACGCTTTTATGCTCCTGACATGTGATATTTGTCTGATATATATTATGCAACCTGTTATATTGTGATTATGCTTCCGTCCGTTTATAGATATAATTGTTTACATATTCACACTGCACACTGCACATTGCACTGGGTAAATCTAACTCAAGTCTCTCAACGCCTGTAAGATGTTTCCTTGAACTTATTTTTTGATGTTGATTACTAAATTTTTTATGTTCATACAAAATGATCTAGCTAAGATTAAAATAGAGATAATTTTAAAATTTCGAGCCCATTCTCGTTTTTGGAGTCTAGGTTAGTGATAATAGGAGGCTAGGATATAGATCAGATAGGTTTTGTTTTTTGAGGCTAGGATAGAATCGATAGAGATAAGTTTTAGATTTTATAGACTAGGTTAGATTTAAGTTTGATGTTTGCAAATTAGGTTATTAGAGATATTTTTGGTATTTTGAGGCTATGCTAGAGATAAGTTTGGTATTTGGAGAAAAGGGTAGATATTAGATATACGTAGGATATTTTGAGGCTTACTTGGGAATAGGTCTTGGAGTTGGGGACTAAGTTAGAGTTAAGTTTGGTATTTGGAGGAAAGGTTACAGTAAGTTTGATATTTTGAGGCTAGGTTAGAGATAAGTTTATTAGTTAAAGGCAAGGTTAGGTATAAGTTTGGTATTTTAATACTAGGTTAGAGATAAGTTTGATATGTGGAGGCAAGGTTAGAGATAAGTTTGGTATTTGGAGACTAGGTTAGAGTTAAGTTTGGTATTTGGAGACTAGGTTAGAGATAAGTTTGTTATTTCAGACAAGGTTAGAGATAAGTTTGTTATGTGGAGACTAGGTTAGAGATAAGTTTGCTATTTTGAGGCAAGGCTAGATATAAGTTTGTTATTTGGAGGCAAGGTTAGAGATAAGTTTGGTAGTTTAATACTAGGTTAGAGATAAGTTTATTATTTAAAGGCAAGGTTAAAGATAAGTTTGGTATTTTAATACTAGGTTAGAGATAAGTTTGATATGTGGAGGTTTCGATATTTGGAGACTTGGTTAGAGATAAGTTTGTTATTGGGAGGCAAGGTTAGAGATAAGTTTGGTATTTGGAGGCAAGGTTAGAGATAAGTTTGGTATTTGGAGGCAAGGTTAGAGTTAAGTTTGGTATATGGAGGCTAGGTTAGAGATAAGTTTGTTATTTGGAGGCAAGGTTAGAGATAAGTTTGGTATTTGGAGGCTAGGTTAGAGATAAGTTTGTTATTTGGAGGCAAAGTTAGAGATAAGTTTGATATTTGGAGGCTAGGTTATAGATAGGGTTTGTATTTAGAGACTAAGTTTGAGATAAGTTTGGTATTTGGAGGCTAGGTTAGAGATAAGTTTGCTATTTGGAGGCAAAGTTAGAGATAAGTTTGATATTTGGAGGCTAGGTTATAGATAGGGTTTGTATTTAGAGACTAAGTTAGAGATAAGTTTGGTATTTTAATACTAGGTTAGAGATAAGTTTGGTGTTTTAAGATTTGGTCAGGGATAAGTTTTTAATTTTAATACAAGATAAGAGGTTGGTTTCATTTGAAAATGAAGGCACATAATTGTTTTTGTATTTTTAAGATTTGTATTACTAGAAGTTAGGAGGTTTTGATTCTGTCAGATTTAAGATTTAATTAGTATTTAGAGACTGACAAAAGCGATAAAACTAAGAATTCATATTTTTTATCAATATTTTGGTTTAATTTTTATTAGATATTTAAGTAAATTATTAATTTTGAATTTGTAACCGTGACAATATTATTTTTTATATTTTAATTCTGTGCAGTGTGTAGCATTCTCAAATCATGGTAAATATGTAAATTAGGTGTACGCAATATTTATGTACACTGAACATTTCAGATATTAGCATGTACCCCTTTCCCAGATTGTACAGCAGCCTGTCCAGGCTGGTCACGTGTACACCGCGTGACATTTTGTACAGAGTGTCTCATCAACAAATATTGCAAAGAGAACACAGGGTGTCCAGTAAACTTTACTGCTCTGGTGGCAGCAAAGATGAGGAACTTAAATCTATTCTTAGGAATAAATATTATAAAGTTTTTAAAAAGTTTAAGTACGATTCCAAATGTGAAAAAAGTTCTTTAAGTTCCCCAACTTTTAAGGCCAAAACATGTAATTAAACTAAAATTGTGCATACGTCTGATGATTATAGTTACTCCAATAAGCATTGTCATATCAAGAATTAATAATATTTTCATTCAAAATTGGGTTCTCTACAAATCGACTTCCACATTTTGCTTTAGAAACAGTGGAGAAATTTGTCAGTAATAAGTACTTTTCAAGCTAGATAAACGACTATATCTTCTACTGAATATGTTTATAAGGTATCTTTGTGATGCGGGCTTACTCACTTTAATTAAAAGGTCGCTTTAAGTTAATATTCAAAACGGCTGAAAACTGTATATTACCTTTTTTAATCAATTCTGAAACCAAGATAATAGTTCCCAATATGTCGTATTTTCAAGATAATAGTTCCCAATATGTCGTATTTTCAAGATTCCTCCTTTGGGCTGTTGCCTCAGGGTTACACTCAGGAATCTTGAAAACACAAAATATAGTGTCCATAGAGAATAGAATATACATATATATATTAGAGAGGAATTAAATGAATCTCTCGGTATGAATTTTTTCAGTCCCTTTCAGCCTGAAAGGGAGTTCAAAGTGTACAAATCATGTAAATGTTCACAAATTATGTGCAGTAGAGTACATTAATACAGTATGTTCCCTAGACTATCCATTTCAATTTCGAATTTTTTAAACTGTTAAATAAACTTTATAATGAATTAGGTGAATAAAAAACATCATTTGATTTATAGTTATAACGGAAAATCATCGTTTGTAAAGTGGAAGGCATAGAGTCTATGTGAAATGATCATTGGTCAATTATGAAACCAGCCTATTTCATAATTTGGTTTTCTTTTAATATTAATTTTAGATTTTCTCTAAAATGATATTCCAGGGCCCCAAAAGGTTATATAGCATAAATATGTGAAGTACACCTGCAGTATGGAAACAGTACAACAAAATGGCCGTTTTACACTTTTTTCGAGTAAATTCCCCTCTAATATATATACTATGATTGTTTCCTATCTGTTATTTTAATTAATCTATGATTGTTCCATTTGTTACTTTCATAATATTTATTTTTTTAGAGAGATTAATAAAGATTTCGGAGAAAAGGGAATAGTAACAGAAGTTAAAGAAATATTAAAAGAAAGTAGAATCAAAAGTGATAATAATAAAGAAACTGATTCAAGCTTAACTGATAAAAATATTGTTCAAACTGCATTATTTGATAAAGAAAACCTTTCCGAGAATAGTTCTAGTGATAATTCGGGTCAAACTTTATCTTCTATTACACAAGAAGACAAGAGAAACCTACAGGGCCTAGTTTCTAGTGGACAAGAACAAGAACAAGAGGGGAGTTTAAAAAAGAAGGATTTACAAGATCTATTAACTGAACTATACGGGGAGGATACTGCCGAGGGATCAAGTGTAGGTTAGTTTCCACGTAGTTTCAGTAATCCTTCACTTGGAAGATACTGCTCTGAGAGATCAAGTGTAGGTTAGTTTCCACGTAGTTTCAGTAATCTTTCACTCGGAAGATACTGCTGAGGGATTAAGTGTAGGTAAGTTTCCACGCAGTAAGTAACCCAAGTAAGTAAGAAAGATTAGAATTGATTGATTGATTGATATATTGATAAAGGATATTATTCAAAATTCATAGACTAATATATACATATTGCTTGATTGATTATTTGAAATGATTTATTGATTTATTACTTTAAATGATTAATTGATTTATTACTTAAAATGATTAATTGGTTGATAATTTAAAATGATACATTGATTGATTTTGATTAGATGGATACAGTGAATACCGGGACGAGGATGCCCGTGTAATCTATGATGTCGACGAAGAAAGGTTAAACTTTTCTTACGCATAATTCATTTTAGTTTATCACAATTTCAATGTGAAAAAAATGATAATTAACTTTATCTTGTTTGCAAAACCCAACCCTACTTTTTCACAAGAATTATGAAAATTAATTCAAAACGTATTTCGCCAAAATCATTTGCACTATCCTGTTTTTCGCTTTAAAAACAATTGCAGATCTAATCAAATCAGAATTCAAAATTGGTCTTTAGGGGCTAAGCCCCAGTCTCTTGAAAATGAAAACTATGATTTCTAGTGGGAATTCAGCCTTCCCTTTGACAAAATACTGTATACTCCCCTAAACCCCAAATCAAAATAGTGGATACCAACTAGAAAAAAGATGGCTCACGTTTTTCTCACCTTTATTTATTTATTCGATTTATTGATGCTTGACTTTGCCCTCTTCTACTGAATATTAATGCTTTGATCTCAATAACTACTAAAGCTTTTATTTTAATGAATAATAATGCTTGACCTCTGACCTCAATAATTCTACCCCTACTGAATAAGATTGCCTCATTTCTGACCTTGTTGTTGTTGTTGTAGCCATTGAACCATAGTAGCGAAAATGGACATGGAAATAAGTTTTTTGTTTTGTTTTGGCCGCTAACTGAATGTTGTGAGATTTGCCCACCAGAGAAGTTTAAAATAAAACTACTGTCTCATGGACCCGCATACTTCATCGAACCTGCTCAATTGGGAGGTTTGCATTGTATGTCATTCAACGTAATGACCTCCGACAACGAATGTAGTTTAATACCATCGGTCGGAATGCTGGGAGCAAGCAAGATGCAATCTTAGTTGCAATCTTGGAACAAGGGTTTGAACCCCCGAGGCCGAATTTAAAGAAATTGAGCCGCAGTTTGATTTCAAACTGCGACTCAAATTTTGTTGTTTCCACATAAATTTGTATTATATTTTTCAAGATTTAAGCCGGCGTTCAATTGAAACCGGTTTTTAGGGGATTTGAGACGCGGCTTAAATTCATTAAATTCGGACACCGGCCTCTGTACCGTAACTAGTGACGCAACTCACTAAGCCTGACCTCGCATAATTCCACCTAATATTAAAACTTATCCTCTGCTATGACTAGGACCCTGCTACGCGAGGCCTATGAGTCTGGTAAAGACCTTGTGTTGGATAAAGACCGGAAACAGAAAACTAAATATAAATATGATCAAATATCAAAGGTAAATAAATAAGAGTACACAATACAATTCTCTTTTTTAACACTCCCCCATCCGCCAATCTTCGTTTATTTTATAGGTTTTACTTTTGATTTATTTATGAGATAAAAAGAACCAACGTAAATATAAGAAACTGAGAATTAAAATTGGATTTTTTTTATCGTTTTAAGAAATTACTAAAATCTATTTTTAATTCTGATTGTTTTAGTCACGTGGAGAAAGAGGAGTTTTTGATCTTGAAGATTTAGTTACAGTTATTAAAGGTAAATTCAACATTATTATTTTTATTATTGATACAAATCAACCTCAAGTCAAGTAAACAAAATTGTTTTCCGACATACGGTAGATTGAGTGATATGTTTCGTTGAATGCACTTAATCCGTAATTTTACGTTTTTTGGTGGCGGGGGAAGGGGGGGGGGGCACCAAATGAAAAGGGAGAGCAATAGTCATATTATGTTATTAATTAATAACCTATATATATGATTATGTTGGATTCAGGAGAAAAGGTGTCTGATGTAGCTTGTATTCGTATTCCCTCGGAGAAACAATATGCAGATTATCTAGTTATAGGTATATATCGAGATACACTGTTTTACCAGTCAATATTAATTAAATAAATCGTTTTTAAGATATTTTTTAAAAACTTTGTTGAGATTTACAATTCCAGGCGCTTTGCGTACCCCATTTTTGTAATAACTGTAGTCAACAATGTAAGGTTTAGAATATTTTTTTTGCTTCTTATTGTGGATGTTAAAAGTTTTTTAAATATCTAAATAATTTTAAGTCAAAATTGCCACGAAAAATGTATTTAGGTTTTACTTTTTGACGTTAATTGGAAACAAGCAGACAAGCCAAACATGTAGAAAGATTTTATGTGAATTTCATTATCTAATAATTGCTTTTAAGCCTTTTCCACTGAAATCTTCTATGTTCTCCCCCTCTGAAACATATGTCAAGACCTATATAATTAACATAAGAATTTTTATTATTATTATTATTATTATAATTATTATTAAAGGACAACCCATCATTCAATGAAATAGGGGTCGGCGCTCCTAGCCGCCGAAACGTATCCATGGGCTGACCGAACCGTGTCACCCTAGGGAGAAGACTAATACTATTGAAATTTTTAAATTCGTGAATAATCCCTCTTAAATCATAATTTTGTATACTCTGAATATTTTCAGGAACAGGAAGGAACCCTCGCCATTTGTTTATTGCAAGTCAACTTATCAAAAAGTAAGTTAAAGTGTTCGGCATGTGAAATTCAAGCAAAAATATCTGCGTCATTACGGAGATAAAGATACTGCTGTGAGAATCGTAGATAGAACGGCAGTTTTGTCAATTTGTTTTTCAAATCGATTGTGGCAGGTTTTGTCATCCTAGCTTCATGGTTAATTAGCAAGTAAATTTTAAATCTTCGTGTATCAGAAAATTGTGTGCCATAGAAAAATACATCTGAACGCAACCTCAATTATGATTATGTCTATTATAAAGATTTTAAAGTTGGTTTATGTAAAATATGGAAAATGGTTAACTTTTAAGTCCCTGATCGATCTTTTTTTAATTCTTCCACTAAAAAAAAACATTAAATAAGTATCAACAACTTGTATTCTAAAAAGAAGATTAATTTATGAATTTATGATTTCATCAAAAATTGATTAATTACGCATTTAAATTTGAAAACACAATTACTAGACTTCCGTACTTAAGGCTATATAAGATGAAGTGTTCCCCTAAAGACACGATGGCTGTTATGGACGGAGTAGAGGATAAAGGAGCTTCAGGTAAACTTAAAGTGTATTCAGGAATTTGTCTAGGGAGGGGGTCAACATTTTTTTTCTTCCCAAGGGTAGGCCCGGAAACCCCTGGAAACTGCTTTGTCCAGCGGGGGTCTGAGTGTATTTGTGTGTTATTGCGATAAAGAATGCCTGAAATATTGTGACCGACTTGAGTTTGAAGTAATGCAACGCCTCGACTCTTGTGTTAACTTTCTAACCTACTTATAGCTAATTGTAGCCCGTGATCTTAAGATTTTAGAACTTAGGGACTGTAAGCGTAATTGCAAGTCACCCTCCTCAAGGATTCTGTCGGTTTTTTTAATCGAAAAGTATGATTTAAAAAATAAATGAGTTTTGTTTTAGGTTGGATAGCTATGGATCTAGGCAATATTATTGTTCATCTATTCACTCCGGTAAGTTTTTCAAGATCTTAAGTAAGTTTCTAGATCTTAGGTAAGTTTTTCTGGAACTGTCTTCCACCCCCCCACACATGTTAAGATATCATTTCAATGTTGATAAAAACTGTTTTTTATTTTATTTTTGGAAGATAAGAATAAAAAAAATATGATGATATTTTTTTTTAAACCTAGAGACTCATTTTGAATTGTGAAAAATAAAAAACTTTTATAATTCTAGGAGTCCAGAGAGAAGTATGACCTGGAAACCCTGTGGACAGTTGGATCCAGGTTCGACACTCTCACCATCCAGAGCAACCTGACGGACTCCCTCAGCCAGCTTATGTCCTCTCACCTAGAGGAATTCGAACCTGTAGAACAGGACCAGGAGAATCAAGAACCCTCGCCGAAAAAACAGATCAATTTCAAACAGAGATGAAAATTTCATGAACAAAAAAAAACAGTTTATTGCAATTGACGTAAAACTGTAATTTTCTGATACTTACATCTTTGATAACTGATGAGGTATACCTTTGATGTTTATTACTTTGTTCAAATAGTCAAGGTTTGAAATATTAAAGGATTTCACCATCAAGTTGCACAAATATAGGGATTATCAAATTAAAGTCTATAGCAAACAATCAGTTTCTTTGTAAAAATATTTTATTTTCAGATAAAAATGAGATATATTATTCCTAAATCCAACATAAAAGTGTTCCACAAGGCTATTCAAGCTCTGGGGAAGGTTGGAGAAGAATTATATTTTGAACCCGGGCCTGATACACTTTTCATTAAAGCACTTAATTCTGGAAAGTAAGTATTTAAAGTCGAATGTTCAGGGTTACCCACAAAGGATGAGACTGTAAAGACGACCTGAAACTCATATTATATGAATATTGACTTTCCCTATTTTAGTATATGTATTTTGCCTTTCATACAATCTTTTGATGGCTTATTTAATTATTTCGCATACATAAAAAAGTTGCAAATATAAGGAAATAGACAGTATACATTCTGAACATTAAGTCTCCGAAGGCGAAGTCTCGTCCTTTGTGGATGATAGATGTTAACAAAAGAGATTTTTGGGATGTTTCTGTTTTTAAAATTTATTTTATCTTTTGGATTTATTTTTATTTCGCGGATGTTCCTGTTTTTAAAGTCAAATTTTCAAAGTTAAAAAATTAAACTTTTCATGACACTTATGGATTCTGACCATAAAGAAACCTTCCCTGGGGTCATTTGAGGTTTCTAAAATTTTAGCCCGTCCTTTACGCCGCTTTGGCGTTTTTGGATTCAAACAACCCAATATAATGGACAAATTTGTATATATAAATATATGAACATTGAATATTGAACAAGTTATAAATATGCATAAATGTCTGCTAATAGCTAGAAAAAATATAAGTTCTTATTCCATCCATTAAAGCTTACAAAAAAATATACAGAAAAAAATGGATTTATAGATAACAATTTTTATTTTAGATCCGGGTTCTTCATATTCTCCTTCCACTCTAGTTTCTTTAGTTCTATTGAAGGACAAATTAATGGAGAAAGCAGAACAGAACCATTTAGGTAATCTATCGATATAATAAAGCTTTTATTTATATACAATATATTCACTATATAGCTGGCCAATCGGCCTGACCTAATTAGCTAAACATTTAACCTACAAATGAGTTTACTGTTTGAAAGCCCAGGGGCAACGCCGGTCACTTCAAGCTAAAATCATATTTCAATATAAGGGGCGGATAAACGGCTTGAGTAACTATGACTTCAAGCTAAAATCATATTTCAATACAAGGGTCGGATAAATGGCTTGAGTAACTATGACTTCAAGCAAAATCATATTTCAATACAAGGGGCGGATAAACGGCTTGAGTAACTATGACTTCAAACGCGAGTAAACTGAGGGATTAACTATTAATAATAATATAAACCTGGCAACGCCGGGTTCTCCAAATGGTACAGGGTGTCCCACATCATATTGGATCGTGTTAAAAAGAACCAATTATAAAAAAATGTAAATTATTAATATATAAATTTGCATGTAGAAAATAGTAGGTTTTTCGATTATTATGTTTGTATTTTGGCGTGAAAGCTTGGAGATAATCTTGTATGAAATGGGACGCTTTGAACAAAAAAAACGGCGGTGAATAATTCTCTACAAATCATTTCATCACACCAGACTTTATAACATATTAGCAATACTTGATCCTGAGAAATGAAGGCAATATTATGCACTGCGCCTTGAAAGCTATCGTGGGGTTCTTTGTTGTTCTAGAGCTGTAAACTGTAGAATTGGGGAAATCGAGATCAATGCTTGATTTTCTCTTTTTGTAAATATACACCATTATGAAAAACCAGAACAACCAATCAGAGAAGCCGGAATATTTGAAATTTTGCGCGCCAATTAATGAGTGAACTTTCATCTGTCCAATACTGGAAGGGAGAGAAATAGAGCGGAACAAGCATAAAATTTAAAGTGTCCACATTGGATAATCAGATTTAGCGATCAGGATTAAAGGTATCCAATTCTAAAGATTTCAGCTCAGATCTATTATTATTATTATGAATGATGCAATGAACACGTGAAACGAATTATCCGTAACAAAATTCAAATTTTATTAGCCTTTTTTTTTGGGGGGGGGGGTAGGGGTTATTTGCTGGATTGTTTATTAATATAGATTAATTGTTAAGGTGTAAAGTTCAATTGAAAAGTTTACTGCTCGCCTTCAATTCTGTGTTTGTAACTGAGAAAAGTGTGAATGCGGGGTTATTAGAGTTTAATCAGGTTATTTTCTCTTCAGCACTTTTTCCAGAAAACTTTTTATATATTTTCTTTGTTGTGACAATTTCCACTTTCACTAATTTTTTTTTTTTTTGATAAGTTCTTTTTCTCTTATTTTATGATATTTTGATAATTTCTTCTTTTTCTCTTATTTTTTGATATTTTGATAATTTCCTCATTTTCTTTTATTTTTGATATTTTGATAATTTCTTCTTTTTCTCTTATTTTTTGATATTTTGATAATTTCTTCTTTTTTTCTTATTTTTTGATATTTTGATAATTTCTTTTTTTTCTCTTATATCTATATTTTGACAATTTCAACTTTTTCTCTTATTTCTATATTTTGAGAATTTCCTCTTTTTCTCTTATTTCTATATTTTGACAATTTCATCTCTTTCTCTTATTTCTATATTTCGACAATTTCTTCTTTATCTCTTTTATATATTTTTTGACAATTTATTTTTTTTCTCTTATTTCTATATTTTGACAATTTCATCTTTTTCTCTTATTTCTATATTTTGACAATTTCAACTCTTTCTCTTATTTTTATATTTCGACAATTTCTTCTTTTTCTCTTATTTCTATATTTTGAAAATTTCCTCATTTTCTCTTATTTTTATATTTTGACAATTTCATCTCTTTTTCTCTTATTTCTATATTTTGACAATTTCATCTCTCTCTCTTATTTCTATATTTCGACAATTTCTTCTTGTTCTCTTTTTGTTTTATTTTTCCTCTTTTTCTCTTATTTCTATATTTTGACAGTTTCCTCTTTTTCTCTTATTTCTATACTTAGACAATATCTTCTTTTTTCTAATCGCTATATTTTTATTATTTCCTTTTTTTTCATGATTAAAGAAAGAATTTTAATAAATTACTGAATCTTATTTTATATAAAATTGCCAATGGCAGAGTAATTTTTTGTAAAAAGAATCAAGTAAGTTAAAAATGTTCGTTTCCTCTCCATTATAGCATCTTTTCTTTGTGATAAAGCCGATACTATAAATAAACAATATTTATTATAATTTCATAGTCACATACAATGGTAACAATGACTCAAAAGGTATTTTTTGACGTACTTTTTTGCCTAAAATAATACTAAAAACAAAGTTGCAATTGATTTTTTTACGTTGATATCATTCCAAATCTTTCGTTAATAGGTTTTTTCTTGTTATTTAATTTTTCATAATTTTTTTATTTTAGGATAATTATAAACTGTTGATAGAACGTCATTGTCGTTACGAGGAAAATATTTCTTTTCTGATAATTAATAATAATATATATAATAATAATACATAGATTATCCTTACAAAATAATCTAATTTTTGTAATATCTTACTAATATGAACTATCCAACGTCAGTTTTTATTAAGATTTATAGAATACTTATTTGTAAAGAGAAGTTAATTTAAAATTTTTAATTGAAAATTTATTTTTTTGGGTTTGTTCCTAGGACACCTAATGTTAAATATTTGCTAATATTAATATCCTTTTTTTGGGGGGGGGGGAGGGGGAAGTATATTTTGATGAAAAGCGTAAAAAATAAATTTTCAAATATTTGAGATAACGATTACTGGGCAATCGGGGCAAGGAAAGAAAGAAAATATTACGGATAATTAATTTACCAACAACCATTTCGAAATATTGAATTTCCTGGGAACTTTTGTATTGTAAATATCGAGATCAATGCTTGATCTCGATATTTTGTTTATCTGCAGAATAATTTAATCTTTATATTATATTAGCAGTGTAAAATCAATAAATTAAGCATTGATCCTTAAGTTAAAAGGGCCCACAGTGGATATTAAGATCAAGCAATCGAGATTAAGAGTAATGAGTAGATGCGGAGTTATTTTAAAAAATGTTAGTTCACGGTCAATAAGTAAGTTTATAATTTACGGAAATGATTAGGTTTGGTCAGGTTGAATCTAGATATGAATTATCAACTTTGGAGTAGGGTTCACTCAAGTTCATAATTTACGGAAATGATTAGGTTTGCTCAGGTTGAAGCTAGATATGTATTATCAACTATGGAGTAGGGTTCACTCAAGTTTATAATTTAAAGAAATGATTAGGTTTGGTCAGGTTGAAGCTAGATATGTATTACCAACTATGGAGCAGGATTCACTAAAGTTTGAGTTTGCTCAAAGGGGGAAAAGCTCCTGGTGCATACAATCTAAGGTAAGGGGGAGAAAATTTCTGTATCCAATCTAAGGTACTAGATATATTGGCCGTAGGATTCAGATTTTAAAGAAATAATCTGCCAAAGAAAAGGGGGGGAGGAGTTTCTAAATTAAGGGGGTTGACATTTTTTGGGGGGAAACCCCAGCCAAATCTGGGTTTTCAAGCTAGTTTAATATGACCTATACACAGATTCACAATAACATATAGGTTCATGCCTTAAATCTAAAGCTGTCATGTACAAATGTACATTTACACAGTGTACTTTACAGGTTTTGTCAGATGTAGTAAGAGCCTTCTTGTCCTCTCAAGACGAGGCTACAATGACGGTTACAGAAGAGAGGTATTACAAATTCAACCAATCTATATAATTTGCTTGTCTGTTATGATGTTTGTTTGTTTGTATCCACAAAACGTCAAAACGGCTGAACCGAGCGTGCCCAAATTTTGTTTGGACTTCACATGTTCCCAGGGGAGGTTTATAGATGATAAAAATTTCAAAAATTTTCCTCCAACAAAATTCTATTTGCATTAAATTTTGAAAATCTACGTGTTTTTTTTATAAAATCCGCAAACTTTTATTTGTTTTTGCTTTACAATGTGTAAAAAGCGAAAATGTTCACAATTGAATAGATAATATTTTATTTTATTTGAATTACTAAGATTTTTTAAGTATTAAGAAGACTGCTCGCAAAATTTTGCTTTCGAAATTACAATGTACACTATATACAGCGTACTTTTAACTGTACGGAAAAATGAATAAGTAATTAAGTTGAATTGATTTTAACTTGTTTTAGGTTTCATATGAAGAACTATGTAGATACGTATGAGGATAAGGAACAGGTATCCAAACTTTTGAAAAATAAAGTTTTTATAATTAAAGGGACTGTACGCGTAATATTCAAGGGGACCCTCCATGCAAAGATGGCAATGCTCCCCGATTCAGAACGGTTCTCTTGAAATCCTTATCTTTTTAACAGTTTAGAAGATATGGTCGTTTTTCTAGGCTTAATTAAAAGTGATAAATTCTGATTATTCCTATATGTTTTTCTGCAGTGGAAATTCGCAAGTAACTTTTGTAGAGAAACCAGGAGAAATAGCATTTTTTTTTAATTGTTAACATTAATACCTAATTTATTCTTGATCAGACTTAGTTGTTAAGGTACCGTTGTGAATCGTGTATTGCCATCTTCGCATTGAGTCTCTTTAATATGGAATTTAACTATTGGTGAAAGTACATATTTACATTTTCAGACGCATACTGACTTCAGTATGTTCCCACGAGAGTTCGAAGAGTACAATGTACTTGAAGAAGCAGCGCTTACATTCAGTCTTAGAGGAATATAATATTCGTACACGTCGGTACAAGTTTATAGAAGTGTCGTGTTTTCTTTGAACGACCACAATCTTAAACTATGTAATTTAAGATATTAATATAATTATTTTGTGATTTTGATACCTTCCCAAAGTGATAACAGTTTTCCCAAGAATATTTTATAATGATTATACTAATAGTAATACTAGGGCCGTCTCAAATATGCCACTTTCCAAAGGAACAAAATCCCAATTTGGCCATCCCTAATTACCAAAGAACTGGCTCTTGTTTCTATCCGAAGCACACCACACAGAATATGTCGAAATTTACTTAATTTTGATCTTTTATTTATCTTTTTCTCATTGACTGAAGAAATCTTTCCTCTCCCGGCTTAAATTGACATTATGGAAAAATGGCATTTGGGAAATTTTCAAATTTTGCAAATGGGAAGCCGCTTTGAGTTACAAGGCGTGATTTGATTAGGTTTTTTTTAAATACTCATTGAAAACTAGCTAACAGTTGAATTTTTCACATTTATTTCATTAATTTTTTCAAAATTAAATTCGGGTCCGAGTAAGTGTATAAATCCACCAATGTTTATGAATGTGGAAGTTGGTTAGTAAAGAATATTTGTATTTGTATAGATCTGCGTAGTATCATAGGGTTTGCTGAAGCTACAGCTCTACCGGTCAAAGCTACCTTTAGCCAGGGCGGTCATCCTATCACCTTCTCGGTCAGGCAGGATCCGGTCCTAGAGGTCAGATATTTATCTATATTATACTAGCATGGGAACCCAGTCCTTGGTCGTAAATTACGAGTTTAGCTATTTATCCCTTTAAAGTGGACCCACTCACCTTAGAATATCAAAACCAAACTAAGAACATTCGCGTGGGTTCTAAGTTCCTTAATCAAAATTTGAGGCAAATCGGTCCAGGTGTTCCTGAGATACATTTGGACAAGCAAAAACAGACAACCAGAGATTACAACTTTATATATATAAAATAACATTCATTAATATTTGGCGTTTGTAAAATTGTTAGAGATGATAAAATGTTTGTTCAGTTTAGTATTTGAATTCCTTATATTTAGTGAATCTTTAAATCAAGCATTGATCTCCATCTCATGTTGACCTACGGATTAATTTAAGTCCTTTTTAATATCCCATGGTGGTTTTACCCTGCAGAGATAACTAACATTTATCATTAAATTTAAAAATGCCCATATTGGAAATAAAATTTTAGTCCAATTGAACATTTTTAATTTCTATTGACTTTAGTGCACATGTACGTTAGTTCAATCGGACATTAGTGCAAACGATATAGCATCCTTTCCCTCAAAGTTTGGATGGTTATTATCATTATCATTATTTTTACTATAATATTATTATTTTTATTATTTTTATTAGGTTTCCTACGCTCTTTCTACGCTGCCAGATAATGATGAGTTAAAATCTATTCAAACTACACGACAAACTCAAGGTATATTCTTTAAAATTAAAATATTCAAACTATACGACAAACTCAATACGACAAACTCAAGGTATATTCTTTAAAATTAAAATATTCAAACTACACGACAAACTCAAGGTATATTCTTTAAAATTAAAATATTCAAACTACACGACAAACTCAAGGTATATTCTTTAAAATTAAAATATTCAAACTACACGACAAACTCAAGGTATATTCTTTAAAATTAAAATATTCAAACTATACGACAAACTCAAGGTATATTCTTTAAAATTAAAATATTCAAACTACACGACAAACTCAAGGTATATTCTTTAAAATTAAAATATTCAAACTAACGACAAACTCAAGGTATATTCTTTAAAATTAAAATATTCAAACTATACGACAAACTCAAGGTATATTCTTTAAAATTAAAATAACCTTTTTTAATTTTAATGAATTTTAGCACACTTTCTAGTTTCCGTTACTTTTACTTTAAATATTAAATATTTTTTTTCAAGATTGCAACACTGAATTATAAAACTAGACTGAAATATCATATTAACCCTACTACGGGACAATGGTTGCTCTTTTTTTGATTTATTAAAGATCGCCTCCTTGTTCCGATTCTGTTAGGTTTTCTCCTTCAGTGTTGTATTTTTGGCATCAAAAAGGAAGTTGTGAGTTTGAAGACATTTTTTCAGGTTCGCAGGCTAAGCGTAGATCTAATGTAGAGCAGAATACTTCATTCATTGGAGGACGTCAGCAGAGACATTCTACACAGAGGGATAATGTACAATCTACAGGTAAATATATTCTACACAGATGGATGATGTGCTTTCTACGGGTAAATATATTCTACACAGAGAGATAATGTACTTTCTACAGGTAAATATATTCTACACAGAAGGATAATGCACTTTGTACAGGTAAATAAAGATGATAATGACAAAAAACTTTACCCCAATTGGATGATGTTAAAAAGAACTTCACAACCTATTTCAATGGTTATAAAACCCACTTGGATCAATGTCTACAAAAACAACAACGACAACGACGACAATGATAACACTCTTTTTTCAGTTTGCCCCACGCCGCCATTAATGACACCTATTCCTATGAACGGCCACAACGATACAACAGAGCGGGTTCAGTTCTCAGAGAGTTTTCATGAACTTAGATCTGAGGTATTCACTGTAAAGGTATAAACCAACATAAGGTTAAAACTTGGGAGGGAGGGAAGGATTTTTCAATTGTTGTAAATATAGTTTTTGTTTAAACTAGTGGTTGGTAAAATTATCACTTTATAAAAAACTTTTTAAAATTTTCATTGAATTTTATTTCTATAATTTAACATAAAAAATCAAGAATATTCTTTATAAATTTTGGCGCAATTTAAAGATAGATTTCATAAGATTATTTTTACCTTTTTTAATCCTCAGAATGTCCGATGTTCGTGCTCGCTGGACTTTTTACTAATCTGGCTTAAACTTAAAAAAGAACTTTTAAACGCCAGTGCTTCTAACCTTGAGAAAAAAAGAACTTTCCTCACCTTCTATACCCTTAATTCTTTGCAACCTGATGTCGAAAACCTTTTATATTTATGAGGATCGAATACCAATAGTTTACGTCACCCAAGTTGCATAGATTTGGGATTATTAATATCAGAATTTAAGACGAGTATTGACTTCCTTTAGACCTCCATCCCGTAATTAATAATACTTAAAAACAAAACCATAAAATTCCAATAAACTGTTCAACCCCTGATATTCTCTAGGATTGTGGGGACGGAGTTGAAGTCTCCAAGTCTCCTGGAGCACCTGAAGATCTTGTCCCCCAGTCTCCTGTTGTTCCTCGAGACCAAGGACTGAAGAGGAAGGAGAGGAAGGTGCTCAGGAAATGTTTCGAAGCTACCTGCTACCCAGCTAAGTAAGTTGTTATCCTTTGTTTTATCAAAAAAAATATTATTGTTACTTTATAAATATCCTAGATTCTTACTCTTGAGATTGATAGATAGATAAATTTGCCATTTAATTCTAGAAACAAATCTAAAGAAATACCAAATTCAATTCTAGGAATGTTGTACAATCTTACAATGCGTAGGAACAAAGTTTAATAATCCTGAGCATAATAATAAACTATTCTAGATTCTACTTTTAAAGAAAAAGAAGGTATGCCCGATTCACAACAATACCCTTTCATTCGATATTTGAACAATGATTGGAAAGATATTTTCGTTTTTTTTTCAAGCTTTAAAGTGTTTTATTCTGAAAATATCCACCATTGTTTCTGTGGCATAACCTCAACACCATTTGGTTTTTACTACCATCAACTCATTTATACTGACATTTACACATTTTGAGCTGGTAACTTTTACTTTGACTGACATTTACACCTTTGAGCTGGAAACTTTTAATTTGACTGACATTTACACATTTTGAGCTGGTAACTATTAATTTGATTGACATTCACACATTTGAGCTGGTAACTTTTAATTTGACTGACTTAGAGAAATGGGAACCGAATAAAATACTTTTATCATGAGAATTCATAAGTTTCCAGCGATGGTTTTCAATTGGATTTGTAACTAATGCAATATTTTTATATTAGAACGAATGTGGAAAGAAAGATTTTAGCAGAAGAGTCAGATTCTGATTCTTGATACACTGGTTCTACATTCAGCAGTCTACACTCTACAATCTACAATCTACACCAGGGCTTTGATAATCTGAAGTTCTGAAGAGAAAGTTTTGATCTTTTGATTTTGTAAACAACCAAAATTTACCCCGTAAATTAAACAATAGTTTGTGATATTCTAATCATCTCAGTATTTCATGTCAAACTAGTTGAGATGCATAAACTTCAATTCAATTCTGGTATTTAAATGCAGGGTGGCCAACTTGTAAGATTTTTAAAACTTATTCTCAACAAACTTGTAACGGGAAAGTTTCTCCTAATTTCTTGATACGGTTCACCTAGAAGTTCAATAGTTTACCATTTAAAATTTTTTTTCTTCCCAATTTAACAATAACAACTGACGAATTGGTGGTTGTGGTGGGGGGGGGGGGGGTACATGAGGTTTCTAACAAAATTTATTCGTTAAACAAATTCTCAGAAAGGCTAAATCATTTTAATCTAAAGGTCAACAAGTACAAATTATAGAAACCGGTGGAAATATCAATAAGTATAAATTATAAAAACCTGTGGAAAGTTCAAAAAGTACAAATTATAGAAACCAGTGGAAAGGTTAAAAAGTAAATTCCTTAATCCCTTATCTTAACCCTGTCCCGGCCCCGGCCCTGTTTACTGCTAGATCCAGCTTTGTCCTTCCTCTCAATCACATGGAATTGTTCTATGCATTGTCTTATAGGCTTATACATTGAGTTATATTGTTATCATATGTATAGGACTGTAGGTAATGGATTCAAGGGATTGTAGGGTTTCCGTCAATAAATATGATTACTAAGCGGTTTTTTCTTCTTCAAGCTTGTTGGCCATCCTGAATCCTGATGCTAAATAAAGAGTAAAAAGTCTTAAAAAACATATACCGGTACCTTAAGATTTAAACCGCTGTGATAAAGAATCTTTGTTGATAAAATTAGTTGTATTAATTGTCAAATCTGTGAAACTATTATAAAACGATCTCATGTATATTGTATATTTATATACATACCTAGATAAACATGTTGGATCGGATTGATCAAGTTGTTCTTCCTGGAGACGATATCAGGGATATTACGGAGAAGGATACAAACCAGGTATATTTAAAGGTTATCCTGGGTCCTGGATTGAGAAGGGAGGAGGAGAAGGTTCTTGTTATAAAACCTGGATTATATATTTAAAGGTTATCCTGGGTCCTGGATTGAGAAAGGAGGGGAAGAAGGTTCTTGTTATAAAACCTGGATTATATATTTGAAGGTTATTCTGGTTCCTGGATTGAGAAGGGAGGGGGAGAAGGTTCTTGTTATAAAACCTGGATTATATATTTAAAGGTTATCCTGGGTCCTGGATTGAGAAGGTAGGGGGAGAAGGTTCTTGTCATAAAACCTGGATTAAATATTTGAAGGTTTCCTGGATTGAGAAGGGAGGGGGAGAAGGTTCTTGTTATAAAACCTGGATTATATATTTAAAGGTTATCCTGGGTCCTGGATTGAGAAGGTAGGGGGAGAAGGTTCTTGTCATAAAACCTGGATTAAATATTTGAAGGTTATTCTGGGTCCTGGATTGAGAAGGGAGGGGGAGAAGGTTCTTGTTATAAAACCTGGATTACTAAAAAGAAAGGACCCGGGAGTATATTGGATTGACTCCCACCAGAAAAGGTAAAAATTAGTTTTTAATAACGTGACCAATTAACATTGACGTATATCGTTATTATAGGAATTTTACAGAAACATTTTCTCTCTAATTTTGATGCGTATCTCTGTGAGCAGACATATAGATTCGGGATAGGGGGGGGGGGGTGCACATGTTTTAATATTGTTATTGTCTCTTTTGTTAAAGATTAAATGTTAAAACCTAATTAATTTGTATTGTACAGATTACACCGTAAGAAAATTAATCTGCACTAATTTGTCAATTAATCTTTGTGTTGTTTAATTAATTACACTATTAAACATTTTTTAATAAAAAGCAAAATCTAATATAAAGATGTTCCTCTAAAATTGTCATATTTGTAATGTACTTCGCGGCCATCTTTAAAAATTCAAATTTTAATTCATGCTGAATCTATCAGCATTTTCTCTTTCAAAATTTACGAAAATCAAAAATTCTGGATGCACAAAGTTTTAAAACTTTGTGCATCCAGAAACTTTGTGGGGTCCCACAAAATATTTGGGCCGGATCGGTTCAGCCGTTTTGACGTTTCTTGGATACAAACAAACAAACAGACAAGCAAAGTATATTTTTGATGTATTTGATTATTAGAAGTAAAAGGTCAAAAATATTTTTTTTTTTTTAATTGTCAAGAAGAATCTAGTGATCGGGAACTATTTTGAAGTAATTATTAAAATTATTAATAAGTTATATTTTATAATAGTAATTTATATTTTAGATATGTTGCAAATCGAGCTGATAATGTACTAGGCGTTGTTTTGAGTAAGGCTGGAGACACATTTAGGTAAGAGTTTGAAACCTTTATATTAACCCTGTACCTTAAATAGGTGGTCGGGGACAAGACAACAATGAATTATTGTCGTGTTTGTTTTTCTTATGCTCAGTGCTTAGAATCCATTTAATTTTTATGCGGATCCGGATCCTGGATCCGCACTGGAAACAAAATTGATTTGCATATATAAACTTTTTGACACTTTTTTACTTCTACGGAGGGGAGGGGGCTGATTCCCTAGAGCCATCCCCCCCCCACACTCCTTTATGATCCTGATCTGATTCTGTTTGATCTGTCATAGTTTTCAATTCGCTAGGTGGGGAAATTTCTCCCCCCCCCCCCCTGATCTTATTCTGTTTAATATCTAATGGGATACAAAAAAAAACTTGTTCTGCTTTATATCAGTTTGATAATTAATTATTCATCAAGTTGAATGAACTGTTGACTGAACATCAATTAAGAACTAAAAACTCTCAACAAAAAGTTAGATTACGCTGTCTAAATAAAAAATTATTTTGTTTCCATTTCCATATTTGTTAAACCATTTTGACTGAGATCACTTCCCTGAGATCCCAAGAAGGACAAGTTACATACACCAACCGGTTCATTGGTAGCCAACGTCTGTGTTACCTACCCTGGGACACATTTCCTGGATAAAGAGAAATACCAGGGTTACACGTGAACGGGTTTTAGGAGAATGTGTCCCATTACTACGACGGCGGTCGAGGGATTCCACGTTGGGGATCTTGCCTATTACTTATTTATTATCATTACTTATTCATTTATTTAATTAGTAAGAATTTAAAAAAAAAATCGGAATTTAAAAAAATGTAGCCTAAGAACTTTATTATATAAATTAAAACATTATTGATCATTAAACCCCAAATGAGGAAGATTCTTTTGTTTATATATCTTGATAATACAAACATTTTTTCAATTTTTCATTACTTGTCTTCACTGCATAACTCCACAAGTTACTTATAGCGATAACCCAAATTAAAATAATCAATTTACATAAAAGAAAGATTTTAAAACAATTTTGATTTTAAAAAATTAAATTAATTTTCATCACATTTTTTTCTATCATTTTACAATTTACATTTAATATCAAGATATGTTTTGCCCTGATAATGATTTTACTGGTACCACTGTGGATCGAGCTTGCTAAATCGAGGATCCCTGGCAAACTACGCCAGCTGTCCCTTTAAGCAACACGTTTTTTGCAGAAAACAATCTGATAAATGTAATAAATGCATCAATTTAATCCCAGTTGGAAAACATCACATTTGTCAATGTTTTAAGGCAAGGAATGATTAATCATATTAAACGCATACTCTTCCACGAAATTAAAATTATACTGAGAGGGATTACTAGATTTGGAATTGCTTTTTAACAGAGAAAATTGATGATTTTTAATGTAATATGACTAAAAAGCTCTAAAAGTGTTTTGAAAAAAAGTTGATTTTTCTTAATATTATTTTTTTTTTAACAAATTTGAAATTTTTTATTTTTTTGTATTAAAAAATTACAATAATTAGCAATATTAAGCAACTAACACTTAAATCAGTACGTAATTCTATTTATTTATGTATTATTATAAAAGGAGCAACTTTTTAAGATTTCATTGTTGTAGAATCGTCAAAAATGCCGTTTACATACGTTTACTGCACAATCTATTCAGAAGTAGGGTTTCTAGCGAAAAGGAAAAAAAATTCGCGAAAAAATAAGGCAAAAATTGAACGTATGTATTTTGAATGGACAGACAGAAAATTAAAAAGATAGCTATTGAAATCAAATTCTCTTCATCAAACCTTTATTAAAGTAAAGGGAAATTATTTATATGACATAATATAACTTCAAATATTGAGCTATCAGAGCAGAGAATTCCACAAGTTCTTTTGAGCAATTAATGGTTGCAGCTATATAACTCATTGTTTTCACAAAAATATTTTTGCGAAATTTCGCAAAAAAAAATTTTTTGCGAAATTTCGCGAAACGTTTCCTTTGCTGGAAACCCTATTCAGACGTAAGATTTTTGTTGTTGTAAATCTTGGGATCAAGCATTGATCTCCATAATATGTAAATTTACGGAATAAGTTAATTCCTAGCTCCTAACTTTAATAGAGGGATCAAGCATTGATCCTCAATCCTAATGGTGTCCACATTGGATATCGAGATCAAGCATTCAAGATTAACTATATCCACACAAAAGTTTCCATGTCAGTTCAGTTAACGCTAAACTGATAAACTTGAATTTGTTTAGAATTGTTGAGTGTTAACTACATCTAACCCACATTTGTGTAAAATAAGTGAAGTTATTAAGTTTATTCATTTTATTTTAAAATTTCAACTGAACCCCTGTTGAAAACTGAACTTATTAAATATTTCTTATATAAACACGTTATGTTTGTTTGGCTTCAGTTGAAATTTAAAAATATCTTTTTATATAATTTTTTAATTATTATTCTTTTTAATTCTTCATCTTTTTGTAATTTCTACTTATAACTTTTGTTATTTTTTATTTATATATCTATTTATTCGGAACATGTGGAAAATATTTATTTATACATCAGTTTTAGTAGTTACAGCCCAGTAGTCACAAGACTTTTTTGTTATGTAGACAAAATCTGTGTCAGGGGAGGGGGGGGGGGGGTTGTACTACTTAAACATTACATTTCTACTTCGTGAATTAAAAAATATCAAAAATATGTTTAAAAGGTTATATTTAAACAATACACATGCTGACTTAGTTTGAATTAAAAAAGGTTTGTACTTAATTGTTTTCTAGTTTTAATAGCTTTTTATTTAACGTATATTGATAATGAAAAAAGTATTTATATTGTAACCGACGAGGGCTGAATAGTGAATATTAATAATAAATAACAGCGTTATTTTTTTTCTAGAATAGGTGGGTTAAAATTCCGCTATGTTATGCTTGTTAAACTCGGAATGAGATGACATTTGGGACGTAACATTGAGCTATACATATTTTTACTATATATTAGTACATTTAAAAACTTAATGATATGTTTATGATAAGTATGTTTTTTTAACGTTTTCATTAATTAGTATTGTGGAGAGTGTAATATTATCCTGGGCGTTATTTAATTTATTTTAATTTAATTCCCGGAGACCTTCTTTGTGGTCATGTGTATTGTGTAGTCCCATCCAAAATTTGGGTCCAATTGACGTTTATTGGATGCGATCAAAATTATTTTTGATATAAAATATTTTAGGGTCGACATTGGAACAAGTGAGCCCGCCTCTCTTTCATATCTAGCATTTGAGGGAGCTACGAAGAAAAACCGTCCAAATGTAAACACAGGAGACATTGTTTATGCAAAGTAAGGTTTTATTTTTTTTCATTAAAAAAATATATATTTATATTTTTAACTTAAAAATTTTTTATTAAGGTAATAAATGTATTAAGTGAAAGTCTTTGTTTTTGTATTGCATGAATTGCATTTACTTTGAATCAACGAATAAAAAATAGTAAATATATTTTCCAATTTTTGTTTTAATTATGAAGGATAATATCAGTTCTTTGCGTTTGAGTACTCATTCACATGTTTTTTGTGGAAATAACATTAATTAACTTTTAAGAAACACTGGTTGGGTTTGTTTTTTTTAGAAATTGTATTACAAATATATCGTCAAATTTATTCAAAAAATATATGAAGTATAATATCGTTTCAAAGTTCTTGATAACAAAAAAAAAAGTGTAGACAGTCGAATTTATTGAAAAACATATATGAAGAATAATATCGTTTCTGAAGAGTTGCAAGTTCTTTTATATTTACTTTGCTTGGGTGTCTGGGTGTTTGTTTGTATCTAATAAACGTTAAAACGGTTGAACCGATCCGGCCAAACTTTTGTGTGGGACACCACAAGACCCCAGGGAAGGTTTATTAAGGATCAAAATTTCAAAAATTAACCACAAACAAAATTTGATTGTCAATAAATTTTGTAAATCCACGTTATTTTTTTTATAAAATCTGCGAGCTTTTTTTTGTTTTACAATGTATTCAAAGAGAAAATGTTCACAATTAAGAAAGAAAATGGGCGCGAAGCGTCTTGAAAGTCTAGTATAAACAAAAAACACGTGTTTTTCTGGAGAAAAACATTAACTAACTTTTAAGAGGCACACAGGGGGGAGGGCTTTGTCTCTTGTAAATTATATTACAAAATAGGCAATCTAATTTATTTTAAAAATATATGAAGTATAACATCATTTTAAAGTGTTTTGAGTTCTTATTCTCAAGAAACGCGTGTTTTTTTGGGGGGAAATCATCTAACTTACTTTTAAGTAACACAGGCGCGCATTTTTTTCTTAGAAATAAAGTTATCAAGTTATGCTGCAACTTAAAAAATCTTCCTTATTCACTTATGAACCTTTTACCTATACCCCTATCCAAAAGTTTAGAATATTCCCAAAGGTTGCTGGTGGCGAGTAGGGATATGGAGGCAGAGCTGGTGTGCGTGGACAGCTATGGGAAGAAGGCGGGGCTAGGAGTTCTGACAGGAGGCGGATATATGTTTAATGTACCCCTACATACAGTCAGGTAGGATATATGTTTAATGTACCCCTACATACAGTCAGGTAGGATATATGTTTAATGTAACCCTACATACAGTCAGGTAGGATATATGTTTAATGTACCCCTACATACAGTCAGGTAGGATATATGTTTAATGTACCCCTGCATAAGGTAGGATATATGTTTAATGTACCCCTACATACAGTCAGGTAGGATATCCCTTCAATATTCCTTAAAGCAATGTAAGCATAATTTTAAAGGATACTTTAAATGCAAACATGACAATGCCTGAATTTCAAGGGTACCCTTAAAACTTAAAACTGATGAAAAATGTAGACGATACCGTCGTTTTTAGGACTCAAAAAGTGTTCACTTCTGTGAGTTGCTCCATTGCTTCTTATAAACAAGAAATGCGCAAGTCACTTATGCAGAGTAACCGCAAATGAAAATAAACAGTGTAAAAGATTCATAATTTTATCAGACAAAGGTTTCTAGGGTTCCGTGGTAAATCGGGCATTGTCATCTTTGCATGGAGGGTCATTAGAAATTACGCTTACAGTCCCTTTAGTTTCTTCCATATTATAAAATTAGAATGGTTACAGTGAGAACCAATAAACGCTGGAATAGGAAGGCGACGTTTAGATTCAAGTCATGACATTAAATGAACATGAGACTGCACAGCAATTTTGAAGTGCAAACTGACCCATTAACCTTATAAGTGGGTCAATAAGTTACTAGTAAAACTGTTTGCTTTGTAACAACATCAATTGCACATCAAATTTGTTTTAATGTCGTCTTCCTATTCTACAGTTTTCTGCCTCTCAATGTAGATTTTAAAACTATTAAACAGATGTTCAAAAAAGTTTTTATATTTTAAAAATTTTAAATAGTTCAACAATTTATTTTATTTTCTTTAGAAAAATGCTTAGTCCGGATTCCGTGCTGTTATCAACACTCGGTGAGCTAATTTAATTATTTAACACGAGACATTATGTTTATTTAAATAAAATAAAATATTGAGCAGTGGGTACAAACGGTTTCTATAAATTCGAAATATATTGATTTTAAATATATATTACAGATATTGTTTTATTGCTTATAAAATGTACGTTTTCTTGCGCATCACAATCATGGGCAATTTTGAATAATAGAGCAAATTATCGGTAATTCTTAATCTTAATTTTCACTAATTGATTTCTAATAGTTATATAATCCTGTAAATATGGATAGAACATCAATTTATTGTAAGTAAAGGTATATACTAGTATACATATTGTATTTATGAGTTAATAAAAATATGCTTTTAGGGCATTTCAATCCCCCTTTCCTGTAAATAATTTTAGAGTTTTAACTGTTTCTTGACTTGACGGATTTTTCTATTCGATTTGACATTTTTCCAGTAATTTTATTTTTATTTTGATGGGGACCCTGGGGTTGTTTACATAATTTTACATATTGTTGTTGTAGGTAAAAGTATTCAGTTTGAAGTTGCTGTTGGGATGAACGGACGGGTATGGGTTAGAGCTAGAACTGTTAAAGAAACAATATGTTTAGGAATTTATTTCAGTTGTCTTGACTAAATACAGGGTTACTCACAAAGGATGAGACTTTCTACACAGTTTACAGAATTTATAATGTCTGTTTCCTTTTACTTAGGCTGTCTGTTTCCTTATATTTATGCTGTCTGTTTCCTTATATTTATGCTGTCTGTTTCCTTACATTTATGCTGTCTGTTTCCTTATATTTATGCTGTCTGTTTTTTTCTTATATTTATGCTGTATTTATGCTGTCTGTTTCCTTATATTTATGCTGTCTGTTTCCTTATATTTATGCTGTCTGTTTCCTTATATTTATGCTGTCTGTTTCCTTATATTTATGCTGTCTGTTTCCTTACATTTATGCTGTCTGTTTCCTTATATTTATGCTGTCTGCTTCCTTGTGTTTATGCTGTCTGTTTCCTTATATTTATGCTGTCTGTTTCCTTATATTTATGCTGTCTGTTTTCTTATATATACGATTCCCTGCAAATGTTTTTTTTTTTGCCTTATCACTGAATAAGTCATAAAAAGATTATAATCAAGGCAGAAGACTTAGCATATCCTCGGAATCGTTATTTTTAAAGAGATTCAGCTCGTTTTCACAGTATCATTCTTTGTGGGTGACTCTGTATCCCCTTTCTTTTTTCGTGGATAAAAAAACGGCCGTGTTTAGTCCTTTTCTTGACGGTACAGTAACCAGAATTGTGAATCGTCATTGTCACATTCGAATTAATTTCTCATTAAAATTAGTTTTTCAGCCCCGTAGATGAATGACTGAAATTAATGTTGTTTAGCGAATGCAATTGATTGCTCTGAGTTCATGAATAACTCCGAGATTGAAGCTATGTGCAGCAAACTTACAGATGTGCTTTCAAACTTTTAGAAAAATTGACTTGTTTTTCTTAATTTTTGGTTTGAATGTATTAAAGGCTGTGATTTTTTTTCAGATAAAAAATGGTGATTGAGCAAGGTTGAAGACAGAATTTTGAATTCATCAATTAAGAAACCATGTAGTACTAAATACTGATAATGGTTTGGTTTTTTTGGGTTTTTTTGTGTTTTTTTTTAGTTCAGTAATTTTGGTTGACTGTGTGTACATTGAGAGCCATACAACTGTGGAATAGGAAGACGACTTTTAGACTGAAGTTATGATCTTTAATAAACGAACATGAAACACAGCAATTGTGCGCAGTATACATTGTACACAAATCCAATGTACTCAATAAATAAAGTTTTAATGGACTAGAAAACTGTTTGCAATAGAACAAGAAGAAATATACCTGTAGATTGCCTAATTGTCTTATAACAAGAAGAAATATACCTGTAGATTGCCTAATTATTTTTTAACAACAAGAAATATGGGAGTGATGCTAGGGCCCAGGTGATTTCGGTAGATTTTTCTTTGTCACAGTTCAACTAAATGAGTCAGCTAAGAGACACCATTTTCTAATTTAAAAAAATTATTTTACACTTACGTTTAATCCTGCTTTTTCTTTTTTCTTTTCAGTATCATATCGAAAGGACGTGTTAATCCACATTTTTTATTTACAAATGTTCTACTTTTTCTTAATAACTTAAATACTAAAAAGTTTTTTAGGTTTGAATTTGAGTAATTAATCAAGGTTAATCGAATGTAAATCTACACTGGTTTGCAGAAAAATGAAATTTTTACTGCTGGCACTATTGCCTGTAGTTTCACAAGCTGCGGGCGGTGTACAGCCTGTTGGAGCCCCGGAAGCTGCGGGCGGTGTACAGCTTGTTGGAGCACCCGTTGAGGTAAGTTTTCTTTAGAGGGATGTTTCACAAATTTAAAAATGCTCTTTAACTGATTTATAAACTTGTACAAAAATACTTATTTTACCGCTCAAAAATGTTTCTACGGACCAAAATGTTCAAATTACAATATATAATTTTCGTTTGGACTTTTTTACGGTTTTATCAACTTTATCGGGAAAAATAAAAAATGGTATAAAGTATTAAAAAGAATGTAAAAACTTACCTTTTAATGTCGATATGATGATTTTTCTCCGGGGAAAACCTCTTATAGTTTGCCTGAAAACTTCAATAACGACTGTTTTTATTTAATTGTTTATTGTATATTGAAGTATGTACGCTATGTACTGTAGGTACCCGGAGATCTGAGCGCTGACCAACAAGAAATTGTGGATTTTGCATTTGCCCAACTTTCCGCTGGTGCAGCTGGAGAATGCCAAAGGTATATCTTAGTAAATCTGGGAATATAGAGAATAGGGAAGAGACTGTCTTTGTAATTTTTAAAAATTAAAGTTCAAGAAGGGTATGCTCGGTATAGAACTGTACCCTTCAAACCTAATTGTGTCTACGATAAATAACATGGAAAAAATAGTCGTTTTCAGCTTTAAAAATGTTAATGTTTATTGTGCACTTAAAGGGAGTGTTCGCGAAAAATGAAAGGGGTATGGTATAAGTTTACGGCGAAAAATAAGCCCTTTTGATCGCTACTAATCTTACTTCTATATGTTGCGTCTATAAGGAGAAAATTGTCAACGACTCATGCTGAAGAACATAGCGTCCATACAAATTCAGAAAGTTGCAACAATCAACTCGGATAGTAAAAAAATCAATTTAATATAAAACAAATCATTCAGATACTTTAAACAATCGTCATTTAATAGTCTCTGAAGCATAAAATTTTTAGATAAAAACAATCAACTTTCAAGGAAAAGAATATAGATATCATGCATTCATTACAAATTACAGTTTATACATGGACCAACTGTACACTGAACAGAAGGATAGTGTACAATATTAGTATACACATGTGCAAACCGTATACTACAGTAGTATTAGTTTTTATATTTACAAACAGTACATGGTACAGGAAGGTAGTGTACAATATTAGTTTATTCAGGTACACACAGTACACTGTACAAAAGTAGGATAGTATACCCTTTTAGATTACACATGTACAAACTGTACAGTGTACAATGGTATTAGTTTATTTAATTACGAACCGTATATTGTACAGGAGGGTAGTGTACATATATACACTGTACACGTATAGCGGGTTATGTACTTAACTAAAGTTTATGTACAGGAGGATAGTACGTGTTGAGAACTTCAAACAGCAGGTTGTGGCTGGAACTAAATACACCTTTGATCTGGTTTTAGCCTCACACAAGGATAATGTAAGTAGTCTAGTATAAAGTTGGGACTCGTTTTTATCCGTTTTTTTTTAATATTTAGTCGTTTGATTTTTATTTGAAACGATTATATTTGTTTCCAGCAGACTAAAATATCATTGATTAAATTATTGACGAATTACTGATCTCTGAAGGGATGAACCATTTGAAACTTTCGACCTTTTGTTTTTTCATTCTTGGTCATGATCCTCCGTTATTTTAGAAATTATCCTCCGTTGTTTTAGGAGTTATCCGCCGTTGTTTTAAGAATGATCCTCCGTTGATTTAGAAATTATCCTCAATTGTTTCAGAAATGATCCTTAAATGTTTTAGGAATGATTCGCCGTTGTTTTAGAAATGATCCGCAATTGTTTTAGGAATATCCGCAGTTGTTTTTGGAATAATACGCTTATGTTTTGAGAATGATCCTCCATTTTTTTAGGAATGATCCTCCGTTATTTTAGAAATGATCCACCATCTTTTTAGGAATGATCCGCCGTTTTTTAAGAATGATCTGCCATTGTTTTAGAAATGTAAAAAATGATCCTCTGTTGTTTTAGGAATGATCCCTTGTTATTTTAGAAATGAGCCTTTGTTGTTTTAGGAATGATCCCCCGGTATTTTAGAAATGATCCCCTGTTATTTTAAAAATGATCCTCGGTTGTTTAAGGAATAATCCCCCGGTATTTTAGAAATGATCCTCTGTTGTGTTTAGGATGCTACCTGTCCTGATGGTCCTGAGCAGAGTTGTAAGATGGTGGTCTGGTCCAAACCCTGGGAGAACTTCAGGGAGGTCCAGTGGGAGCAGGTCACCTGTGCCAAGGATGTAAGCAACTTTTTTCCTCTTTTTTAAGGGAATGTTCATATTTTAGAGCAGCAGACTGTGCTGTAAATAATGATTTAAGGATTTAAACAGAGTTTACATTCATTTTGAAAAGAAAGACTTGTAAAACTTCAGCTGCAACTCTTCCAGAAGCAATTCTGAGTTGAAGCATTTTTCGAAGTGTCGTCATTAAACATATAATCCAAATTGTAAACCAATATGACAAATATGATTAATATTATAACTCTTAATGACTTAAAGGGACTGACAGGGTAATTTCAATTGACCCTTTATTAAAAGATTGCAATGCCAAGTTTACAATGATACCCTCTGCTTTAGAAATGCACAAGTTGCTTTGTAGAAAAATCGCAATTGAAAATAATCATTTTTAAAAATTAAAACCATTGATATCTTATTTATTCTTGATGAGACAAAGCTTTTAAGGATACCCTTGTGAATTACATTGCATTACGCTTACACTCTTACAGTCCCTTTAAGAAACTATCTGTTTTTCTCAGAAACGCTTAAATCCTAAACTTTAAATTTTTACTCCCAGAGAGCTCTGAGAAGAATATTCCCTTTATAGCTTTTTGTTTTGAAGTAGACATGCTCTCTTAGTTTTTTTGCACATAGTTGTAGTTTTTTATGTTTTTTTTTAAATACTGAGATAAGAAGAAATCTTAAAGCTTGCGTTTTGTGGGAAAATGCTTTATTAAGTTTCGTTTGCTAACTTTAAGCTGAAGTTTACTTTCAGAAAGTTCATAATCGTTAATTTGTTAAATATTTTAAATCAAGTTTTTTTGTATTTTTTCATGGCTGTACGGTAGCTAATATTTTTAATCGTTTTAAACTTAATAAAACTTCCCACACTGCAAAACTGTTTTCAGTTAAAGTTAGCATTTATTATTTTCCAAAATTTTTATCCAAAAAAAAAGAATTAACGAACCAAACCACGACGTTAGAACAGGTTGGTTTTTGCTTCGTTTTTGCACATATTTTCTATAAAGGTCAACATTTGGCATAGAGAAAATAAATGCAAAAATGAACCAAAACTATTGACTATCTAGTATGCAAATAATTTTCTCTTTTTTCCCTTGTAGAATTTTTTAATCTTGTTTTTATTTTCTTTGTGTTTCCTTTTGTTGTTTTAACTTTGTTTTATGGCATTTTCATCAAATCTGTCCCTAGCTGAAAACTTTAGGATTGGATACCTTAAAATACGATGTATTCTCTGTCAACACTTTTGATTTTCTACTTAATCCTCTCTTTTTGGATATCCCTGCTGGATTGCACCAATGAGAATTCGCTCATTGATTTCGCGGGCTAAATTTCAAAATTTCTCGGCTTCTAATTGGCTGTTAGGGATTTTGTATATGCCACTTTATTGGTTGAATGTTTTTACACAATTCCAGAAAACAAACCAAAGATTAGATTAATCTTGAGATAAATAAAAAGAAAAGAACAAGCATTGATCTTGAAATTCTCGATATCCACCATTCTACAGTTTTCAGCTCCTATCACATTCCTTTATTGACTTAGCTTTACAATTTACATGTTGTGTTTTTTGTCTTCTACTTTTGTATACCTTTCCTTATCTTCAACTTTCTTTGCGATTTTACGCTATTTATTTTTTTCTCATTTTTCTTTCTTTTTCAATTTTTTCATTTCTTCAATTTCAACTTAACCCATTTTTTTCAAATTTATTTTTCTTATCTTCTGATTTTTGAGTTTTGTTTATACATTGTATGCATGATGCACTTGGGTGTTTCTTTGATAAGAATTAAAAATTTTAATCACTTGATTTGACAAATAATCTATAAATATCATTAAATTGGACTAAAATAGTTTTACCAATAAAAGTTTACATCGGAAAATATCTTCCAGAAAGCAAAACGTTTTTAGGAAATTGCATTAAAATTGAATTAAAAAATCTGATTTTGTTTTTTAATGTTATATTTCTAATTTTACTTGAAATGGGTATTTTGTTAAAAAAAATTATTTCATTTTCATATTTGAAAACTATTTCTGTCAAATGGATGCCCCTTCTGTGTTAAATGTTTATGCATGATGTTGTTGCTAAAGCATGATATTGCTAGGCTTGAGCGTGTACTGTCCCCCGGAAGAAGACCTGACCTGGCCGGACTTATCTGACATTGATCCCTGATTTACATTAATTTGTTTTTAAAAAATTTTACTATACATTCCTTTTCATCAATTTTAACATTCCACAAATGTTTGATTAATTTTATTAATTGCTACAGTTACACAGTAGAATTTTTGTATGTTCTAGGTGTATTTGTTTGATTTTTAAAGATTACCTGTGCATGGTTTTAATAAATTTTCAAATTTTATTTGTAATTAATAGAAATTTGTAGAATTAGATTTTAAGTTGACTGTTCTGAGTATTAAATAATTTAATCTGAGCTGGGAACTTTAGAATGGTGGATATCAGGATTAATGCTTGATCCTCTCTTTTTGCTAATCTCGAGACTAGCATAATCTCGAGATTATGTTAGTCTCGAGATTCAATATTTAGATCAACAAATATGATTCTGGGAACGCCAGATTTGTTGGTTTTCTTGACTGGAAGGGCCTTCATTTAATTTCTCACCCATTTATTTATCAATACATTAGTTAAAATTGGTTAAAAAAGAATCTCAAACATATTATTAAATATTTTTCTTCGCCGAAAAATTTATAAAATGACCGACAAGAAATTCTTTATTTGTTAGAAATTGCGGATTTCTCTCATGGGATAGAATTTACGAACTATATTCCTGAACTCTCATTGGATAAAACAATTTACGGAAATCCAAAGAGAGAGAAAAAGAGTGGATTAAGGACTAAAATTAAAAGTTTCCACAGTGGATATTCGGATTAAGTAGTTGGGATTAAAGGTTATCCATTCTTAAGTTCCCAGCTCTGGTGTTTTCCGATGTACATGTAAGTGATCCTTCACAAATCAAATATTTCATGGGAATCTTTATTCCAAATTTAAGAGAAAAAAAATACAGTGATTTTTGTTGCTTGTGAAAGAAAGTTAATTTCTTTTCTTGTGTTTTTGATGAAAGCAAAGAGTTGAAAGGGTTGTCTATGTAGAGGATCTAACTGACACAGTTTCTAGCTCTACAGTTGCAGGAGTAGTAAAGTGCACAGTGACAGTATCATTTAATATTTAAATTTGAAGTAGTCTTATCCACTGTAGCAGTATTAGATCTTTTGTACAATTTGTTGAAAACCGTATTTAAAAGTGGATTAAATTCGACGATCTCTCAATCAAATCATTTGATTGAAATATATTTATTATCCTTATTTCAAATTTTAAAAACTTTTATAAATTTAAATTGCGATCTTGTTTAGTTCTTGATTATTAAGAGGTTAGGGAAATGTAGGGTAAACTCTATGCATTCATCAAAGAGAGTTTTAAAATTTTTCATAAAATCAAAAAGTCGTGAAGTGTTTCTTGTACATATACATTATTCACCCCTTACTAGAATTTTTGTCTAACATGTGCGTGATCAAAAGGATGCAAGCTCTAACGCAGAAATCAAAAAGAATTTTTCTAATTATTTCTAAAAAATTTAAGCCAAGTGCTAATAGATCTAAAATGTACAAAATGAAAAGGAGGTAAAATCTAAGGCCTAAACGTTGCGACACTTAAAAGTCAATCCAGTCTTTAAATTGATTGAACAGATTAAGTGCATTTTAGATTAGTCAGTTGTATGTTTAAAGAAGAAAAAAGTTTCAGGAAAATATAAAAAAAATTATCTAAAAACCAACTTTGATAAACAAGATTACCAAGGTTTAAAGAAAATATAAAAAAAATTGTCTAAAAAAAACACCTTTGATAAAGAAAATCACCAAGGTTAAAAGGAAATAAAAGAAAATTGATCTAAAAAACACCTTTGACAAACAAAATTACCAAGGTTAAAAGAAAATATAAAAAATTGATCTAAAAATCCACCTTTGATAAACAAAATACCAAGGTTAATAGAAAATATAAAAAAAAAATTATCAAAAAACCACCTTTGATAAAGAAAATTACCAAGGTTAAAAGAAAATAAAAGAAAATTGATCTAAAAACCACCTTTGATAAACAAATTACCAAGGTTAAAAGAAAATATAAAAAATTGATCTAAAAATCCACCTTTGATTAACAAAATACCAAGGTTAATAGAAAATATAAAAAAAATTATCTAAAAAAACCACCTTTGATAAAGAAAATTACCAAGGTTAAAAGAAAATAAAAGAAAATTGATCCAAAAAACCACCTTTGATAAACAAGATTACCAAGGTTAAAAGAAAATGTTTAAAAAAACTGTCTTCACTCTTTATAATTAAAAAATAAGCTTTAAGGAGAGAGACCGATTAGGTAGTAGGTAACATATTTGAACAGATAGTGAAGAAAAATTACTTCATTTAAAAACTTGAGACGTGAGAATGGTCCGCAGAAGAACGTTAGGTTGAAATTCCAAATTATGAATTGTGCATGCCAGGTCAAATATACAAAGTCTACACAATCAAGGTGCAAAGACGAAGAGATAAAAATATGAGAGTTTGAGGCGATTAATTAGAAAAGAGAATAAGATTTTGCCACAAACTCTAATCCCTACATAATTGCAAACTGTAAATTTTGTTAGATCAAATAATCTTAGTATGAAAAAGTTTTTATCATCAGGTAGTAAAGATAAATGGATTAGAATATTTGAGTTAGTGGCAAAAACGCAGTTTCTTTGATAACATAAATGAATCATGTCCTATCTGTGTATTCTGTGCTCAGGGACAGGGTGTCGTGGAGGATGAGGATGAGGTTGAGGTTGAATCTACTACAAGAAAGGTCAGGAAGAGGTTACTCCGGGTTCCTCTAACAGCCTCCAGAACATCAGGATCAGTGTCCTCCGCCATTAATAAGGTATGTAAGGGAGGACGAGAAGGGGGTGGGGTGTTCCAAAAAAACTTGGGTTTAATATCAATCAATAAAATCTATAAATATATACTTTTCTTGTCTGTTTGTTTGTTTGTATTCAATAAGCGTCAAAACGGCTGAACCGATCGGGCCCAAATTTTATGTGGGGCCTTACATGACCCCAGGAAAGGTTTATGCTTGTAATTTCATAAAGTGGTCTCCAAAAAATTTTAATTTTCGTAAGATTTTGAAAATCCATAAAAAAAAGTAAATCCGCAACATTTTTTTTGTGTTTTAGCGAAGAGAAAATGTTGAAAGATTGAGCAACTTTTAAAAGTTGAAATAGAAGATGGGCGCGAAGCGACCTGATAGCTTAGAGTTAGAAGACAATATTACAACAAAATTCTTTTTCCAGGCAAGAGATGTGGAAGCTCTACCAGAGGGAGGTCAAATATTCGGAGGAGGTGATCATGATTATCTTCCCCATCATAAGAAGGTTCTCGGAGGAGATGATCATGATCTTGTTCCTCACAAGAAGATTTTCGGAGGAGATGATCATGATCTTGTTCCTCACAAGAAGGTGCTCCGAGGAGAGGATCATGATATTGTCCCTCATGGACTGGTTGGAGGAGGTAGACCACATGGTCCACGGTTTGGAGGAGATGGCCATGATATTAATCCCTTCACTGTCAAGAAGCTTCCTCCGTTCCAGGTAATTTAAAGGGACTATGTTGTAATTTTAAGTGTGAGCCTTCATTAAAAAGTGACATGTCTGATTCACATCAGTGTCCATGAAATCTTTATGTAATCAATAATTTGAAAGATATTGTTCTAATTAAAAAGGTTTAACTTTGACAATTTTGTTCCTTTAGTCAGTGTGGCATAAATCTGTAAGTCGGTTTGAAAGATAAACCAAAACTGAAAATATAGAGAAAACTCTTTTATTCTGGGTGAGACAAAGACGAAGGTTACCGCTGTTTTTATGCCTAATTCCCATAAAAATGAATGCAGGGGTCTGGGGTAAATATTTTCGAAAAATTGTAAGATAATTGGACATCAACGGGCACATTCCTACCCTAATTATTTATAATTTTTTACCAAGAATTTTTTTTAGAAAATGCACAAACCCCGAATAAATTTATAACCTTCTGTTTATTGTTAGGAGAGTGTGAGAACTCTGTCTGAGATGCAATCTTTGAAGAGCTTTCATTCATTCGTCAAATCTTACAATAAAACATACAATAACAAGGCTGAGTACAAGAAAAGGTAAATCTTACAATAAAACATACAATAACAAGGCAGAGTATAAGTTAATATTACAATAAAACATACAATAGCAAGGGAGAGTACAAGAAGTGGTAAATCTGACAATTAAATATACTATTACAAGGTTAATTACAGGAAGCGGTAAATCACGGGCAGCCATAGTACATTTGAATTTCCGAGCCGGGTCAACCATTCCGGTCCCAGTTTGTACTGTACCTAGCTCTATGGACAGGACTAGCCGGTGCAACAAGGTTGGCGCGGTCCGACTTTATGCTTCATATAGGTTGAATTTACTAAAGGGGCAGATTTGCGTGAAATCTTACAATAAAACATTCGCTAAGATTAGACTGATTACAAGTAAATCTTTCAAAGAAGAATTTACTAGAATGATGTACAACTACAAAAAGGTAAAACGAAACAGAATCTGAATCATGATAAAATGAGAGAGATCAGACGAGTTCAGAAATATAGAAAGATATAGCATTATAAATAATAGAAAATATATTAAAAGTAAAATAAAATCGAAAACCAATTTATCACAAATAAACAGCTAAATTATAGTTTAAATTGCTTTTTTTAAATTAGAAAATGAATTAAGATTTGTTGTTTGTAAATTGTAGCTGCCATATCTTTATGTGTCAAATCCTTCCACTATAAATAAGTCATCATGCAGAAATGTATAGAAAGAAAATTCTTCGAAAAATAGTTCAAGTTTTTTTATTTAAATAAACAAAAGCTTTATAAAAAAAATTATTAAATTTTGAATGTTCCCACTCCCTTTTGTTCAAATCATCTGTATGAAAAATAATAAATTATTTTGAAAATTTAAGAAAAAAAAGAATACTTAAAGGGAGTGTTCGCGAAAAATGAAAGGGGGTATAGGCTTAATTCAGAAAGATGCAACATACGACTTAGACCATAAAAAAATCTATTTAATTTCAAACAAATCATTCAAATATTACACCCTATGGTCATCGATTATCTTTCGCCACATTTTTATATAGTTGATTTTTTATAATATGTTTGATTTTATTTCTTAAAATAACATTTAGCTTCCAACTTGTTATCAAACATTCCTGGAAAGTATGAAAATGTCGTCTTCATTACCAAAAATCCTCGAAACAGGAATAAATGTTTTTATAAGTAACTCTCAGATCATAACAATTAAAACATATTATGAAAAATCAACTATAAAAAAATGTGGCGAAAGATAATCAATGACCATAGGGTGCAGTATCTGAATGATTTGTTTGAAATCAAATAGATTTTTTACGGTCTAAGTCGTATGTTGCATCTTTCTGAATTTGTATGGATACTACGTTCTTCGGTATTAGTCGTTTTTAACAATTCTCTCCTTGTAGACGCAACAGATAGAAGTAAGATTAGAAGCGATCAAATGCGCTTTTTTATCGCATTAAGCCTATACCCCTTTTCATTTTTCGCGAACACTCCCTTTAAGGTACGGAATATTCCGGGAGAACATGAAGAAGATCCAGTTCCTGCAGGAGACAGAGCAAGGTTCAGGTGTCTACGGAGCAAACCATCTAGCAGATATATCAGAACAGGAGTTCAAGAGAGATTATCTGGGAATCAATCTAAAGAAGGTAAATCCGGCCAAAAGTTTGATAGGTAGGGTATGGATGGGTTGTTTTCACTATTTTGAAATACAATCGGTTCGCTTTAAAAACGACGAAGAAAAAAACGAAAAACGAAACGACCGTTTTAAAACGATCATTAAAAAAATATTGTTTTTTTAGACGTTCAAACAATCGTTTTTTTTAAACAATAGTTTTTCGCTTTAAAAAAAACTATCGTTGTTAAAAAAGATATATATATCAATATATATATATATATACTCAATTTATTATTCAATCAAAAAAACAGATAAACAGCAGATTTGAGTCTGTGGCTATATATATATATATATCCTATATCAGCTGAGATATATATAATATATTTCCTATATATATATTATATACATGTATTTATCCAGGATGATCCGGATATCCACTGGCCTGCTGCAGATATCCCTGATGTTGAACTACCAACTGAGTTTGACTGGAGAACCAAGAATGCCGTGACTCCTGTTAAAAATCAGGTTTTTACGAAATTACCAATTTTTGTAGAGCTGAGCCAAAAATCTTAAGTTTTGGGGTTATAATAGTACAAAGCTGATACATGACCTATTTATGCGGATTGATTTAAGAATGATGATAAAATCAATTTATGAATAAAAACACCATATTTCTCTGAATATTAAGAAAAAAGAGTTTTTTTACATTCAACTAAAAATTATTTTTTATAATAGAATAAATTCAACTCAACAATCTTTAATAGAATTATTATTGTGAGAAAAATCTCGAAAATGTTCACACCTTTTTTAAAAATTTTAAAAGGTAAAATTATTTTGAGGACATTTATTTAGGGTGCCTGTGGTTCCTGCTGGGCGTTTAGTGTGACCGGAAACGTTGAGGGACAGTTGGCGATTAAGAACGGAAACCTTGTCTCCTTGAGCGAGCAGGAGCTTGTAGATTGTGATAAAAGGTACTGAAATATTGAAATCTATAAAATAAACCATTGAAATAATAGACTTTTTTAAATTATGAATTGAATTTTTTAACTGATCAGAGCTGAAAACTTTAGAATGGATAAACTTTAATCCTGACTTCTTGATCCAAATATCCACTGTGGAAACTTTTCATTTTAGTCCTAAATCCACTCTTTTTCTCTCTCCTTGGATATCCGTTAATTGTTTTCTCCAATGAGAATATTTCTGTTCTCTCATTGGTTGCCCGCTTTTCTCTGATTGGCTGCTACAGTTTCTCAGATGATTAAATATTAATTTGAATTTTATTGTTTTTCATACGCTTTTAAGATAATCTTGCAAGATTATGTTAATCCGGAGATTAAGAAAAAGAGTGGATTAAGCCTTAATCCCGATATCCACGATTTAAAAGTTCCCAGCTCAGTTTTAAGAATTTCAAATCTCACAATAATAAGAATGAAGACGACATTTCACAGTTTTCTGGTTACCGCTGTATGGTGTTCAGGGATAGCGGATGTAACGGTGGTCTGCCTGAGAATGCGTACAAGACCTTGCTTGAGATCGGAGGCCTGGAATCTGAGGAGGATTATGGATATGATGGAGAGGATGAAAAGTGTCAGTTTAACAGGTAGCAATCAATTAATCGGTTTGGTAAATTTGAAAAATTATTTTGGTTAATACCATTGATCAGAGTAAAAATTAGGCTTTTAGGGCGCTTCGCTCCCTCTTTCCTGTAAATAGTTTTAGCTTTTAACTGTTGATCTGATGTCGGCCATTTTTAATCTATTTGAAATTTTGACGGATTAATCTACTCGAAATGGCGAATTTTCAGAACATTTTTTGTTTTCAAACAGACAAACAAATAGACAGACAGACATTGACTAGCAAAGTATATATTTAGATCAACGAGGTTATAGTGTATAGAGTGATGATGTACGCTAATCCTTTACTAATTTTATAAGCCATAAACTATACCGAGAGCGTACTGCATATCTGTTTATTAAAAGTTGATTCTGGCCTAACTTAAAGTATATCAATATTAGTAAACAGTTGTAAGTGTAACTGAGCACACAGGTAGAGAACTATCATCCCCCCTAATATAGATGCTATCCCTAGGACACGTGTTGTAGCACGTGTAGCCGGCGGAGTTGAAATCTCTCAAAATGAAACGCAGATGGCACAGTGGCTTCTACAGAATGGACCCATCTCAGTCGGTAAACTTTGTATTATCACTTTTATAGAACAATATTTTAGAGAAATGAAGAAAAAGTTTTGATATATTAATTTTACCACAGACCAGTTTTTAGTATTGAATTTATTTTATTTTTTATTTATTTGTTTTTTCATCAATTACATTTATTTAAATAATTCTTGTTATTGTATTTTGTTTTTTTAAGATAGATTAGAAAGCTGAAATCTTGTTTTATGACCACTAACGCAAAAGTAACACGTCCCCTTAGAGCTAAATCTTAACATTATCTATTATTTAAAAATAATGTTTTTCTAATTCTTATCATCCCCCTCTCACGAAATCTCAAATTAAGCCCATGAAATTTTAACTTAAAATAAATTTAGTAAAAAAATGATTTTGTTTAGGATTAAACGCGAATGCAATGCAGTTCTATATGGGAGGTGTCAGTCATCCTTGGAAATTTCTCTGCAGCGCAGAAGGTTGAAATATATATTTTTCTCTAATATAATAATATTTTTCTATAATATAATAATATTTTTCTTTTCGTCAATTTTGTTTTTGTATTTTATTTCTGTTGATAATATTTGTATCCGAATTTCCTTGTTATGTTGTTAGATTTCGTACAGGGATTGATCATAGAATACTAATAACTGGATTGTTCAGGAATTGATCATGGAGTAATTATAAATGGGTTGTTCAGTTATGGATCATGGAGTAATTATAACTGGATTGTTCAGAAATTGATAATGGAGTAATTATAATTGGATTGTTCAGGAATTGATAATGAAGTAATTAAATCGGATTGTTCAACTTTTATAACTGTGTTGTTCAGGAAATGATAATGGAGTAATTAAATTGGATTGTTCCCAAATTATAACTGCATTGTTCAGGAATGGAGCATGTTGTAATTATAACTGGATTGTTCAGGAATTGATAATGGAATAATTATAATTGGATTGTTCAGGAATTGATAATGGAGTAATTATAACTGGATCTTTCAGGAATTGATCATAAAGTAATAAAAACTAGATTGTTCAGGAATTGATCATGAAGAATTATAACTGGATTGTTCAGAAATTAATAATGGAGTAATTATAATTGGATTGTTCAGAAATTGAAAATGGAGTAATTATAACTGGATTGTTCAGAAATTGATAATGGAGTAATTATAACTGAATTGTTCAGGAATTGATAATGGAGTAATAATAATTTTGGTGTTCAGAAATTGATCATGGAGTAATTATAACTGGATAATTCAGGAATTGATCATAGAGTAATTATAACTGGATCGTTCAGGAATTGATCATGAAGTAATTATAACTGAATGGTCCAGGAATTGATGATAGAGTAATAATAACTTTGGTGTTCAGAAATTGATAATTGAGTAATTTTAACTAGATTGTTCAGGAATTGATCATGGAGTAATTATATTTGGATTGTTCAGGAATTGATCAAAGAGTAGTAAAAACTAGATTGTTCAGAAATTGATCATTAAGTATTAATAAATGGACTGTTTCAGAAATGATCATGGAGTCCTGATTAATGTATTGTTCAGTAATTGATCATGTTGTAATAATAAATTGTTTGTTCAGGAATTGATCATGGAGTCCTGATTGTCGGGTTTGGAGTCCATGAATATCCTCTATTCCACAAGTAAGAAATCAGATATTTACAAAAATATTTTAGGTGTTTTCCATTGACAATTGACAGGTGACAAATAAAGATTTTATTTGATCTTAAGAGCTACATATTTTTAAAAAATGCATCAAAAAAGTTTATTGGAATTAAAAGCTTTCCAAAATTTGCAATCACATTATGCAATGCAAACATAGGACTAGGAGTGTTCCTACTTTTTTGAAATCGTACGTTTCGCCTATTATTATTCGTTTTGCTTAATATTATTCGTTTCGCTTGATATTATTTGTTTTGCTTATTATTATTACTCGTTTCGCTCATTATTATTCGTTTCACTTATTATTATTTGTTTCGCTTATTATTATTTGTTTGGCATATTATTATTTGTTTTGCTTATTATTATTATTCGTTTCGCTTATTATTATTCGGTTCGCTTATTATTATTTGTTTGGCATATTATTATTCGTTTCGCTTATTATTAATCCTTTCGCTTATTATTATTCGGTTCGCTTATTATTATTTGCTTTGCTTATTATTATTTGTTTCGCTTATTATTATTCGTTTCGCTCATTAATATTCGTTTTGCTTATTATTATTCGATTAGCTCATTATTATTTGTTTTGCTTATTATTATTCGATTAGCTCATTATTATTTGTTTCGCTCATTATTATTCGTTTCACTTATTATTATTCGTTTCGCTTATTATTATTTGTTTGGCATATTATTATTTATTTCGCTCATTATTTATCCTTTCCCCTATTATTATTTGTTTTGCTTATTATTATTCGTTTTGCTTAATATTATTTGTTTCGCTTATTATTATTCGTTTCGCTTATTATTATTTGTTTGGCATATTATTATTTATTTCGCTCATTATTTATCCTTTCCCCTATTATTATTTGTTTGGCATATTATTATTTGTTTTGCTTAATATTATTTGTTTCGCTTATTATTATTCGGTTCGCTTATTATTATTTGTTTGGCATATTATTATTTGTTTCGCTCATTATTTATCCTTTCGCCTATTATTATTTGTTTTGCTTATTACTATTACTTGTTTCGCTCATTATTATTCGTTTTGCTTATTATTATTTGTTTCGCTTATTATTATTTGTTTGGCATATTATTATTTGTTTCGCTTGCTTATTATTATTTGTTTCGCTTATTATTATTTGTTTCAATAATTATTATTTGTTTCGCTCCTGTATATTATTATTAATATTGTTATAATATAACAATCTTTAAGAGATCCACAATGTGAAACCCCAAGACCGCCATGGGTGTATCAGGCCAATGCGGGCTTACCAATTAACCTGTTGGTGGGAGTTACCTGACACCCGGATATGTATATATATTTATATGTTAACTATAGATGGCCAAACGGCTGGACCGAATGGGCTAATATTTTTTCAGGAAACTTAAGGGTGCTAAATAGACTAAAATAATCGACATTTTTTCTTTCAAAAATAACATTTTTTTGTTAAAAAATCGATTTAAAAAAAGTATCTATCTTTATATATTTATATGTCAGCTATTGCTGGCCAAACGACTGGACCGAATGGGCTGAATTATTTTAGGTAACCCAAGAGTACCATGGGGGTAACATAGGCTAAAAATAAGTCGAAATTTTATTTTCTTTAATTTAATTTTTTGAAAATAATTCACGGGCAACGCCGGGCACTTCAGCTAGTTATTATAATTACATTATTATTATTATCGTGTAGGACTATGCCCTACTGGATAATCAAGAACTCCTGGGGTCCAGGCTGGGGGGAGCAAGGATACTACAGGTAAACTTTGTATTTCGCATTTTAAAAATTCTTGTTATTTTTTTCCGGAAAATTTTTATTTTCACAGGGTTATATGTACATTTCTTCCTTAATAATTTTAATTTCTTTTGTCTTTATTTTTTGAGAAAATAAATAATTATCATGTAAAGGCATTTTCCCTATTTCAAAATTTAAAATTAATTCCTTAACAATAGCTCAGTTGTACGTATATAGTGTACACTGTTCACTGTACAGTGTTATACGCTAAACACATTTTATTTTCACTGAACAGGGTTGTTTCTTCTTTATGTTCCTATTTACAAGGGTAAAGTTGTTTCCGTTTTTTGGTCAACATTACCGACCCATTATTCCCCCTACAGTGGAAGGTTAAGTTACTTAACGTCCCTTGGGACAGTTATTTACAAAATAACCACCCGATCTGCAAAGTTTTGAAAAAGTGCATTTTCATCTCAAAAGACGATGAAATAGTGTACTGGCACTACTTTTTCGGGAAATTAAAATTTTTACTTATTAACGGGTTTCCTAGACCAATTTTACTAAATTGGTCTTGGGAACCCTTCCCTGTAAAAAATTGTAAATTAATATTTCAACAAAAAAAACTACAAGTGTTCTATTTGTCTATTAAAAGATAATTATTTAAAGATAAACAAATTATTTTTTAACAGTTTCTAGTATTTGTAAATATTTTTAAATTGATCAAATGAATCTTTTTTAACATCAATTTATTTATTTTTAATTTTTATGAAACAAATTTATTGATAACATGTATTTAATGCAGAATGCCAATTATCATGCAGATTATCAAGATGGTTAATATGTAGTTTCGATAGCTGACTAGGCAATTTGTTATATTTCAATATCAGCTCTTGAGTTTCTATATTTATTCCAGTTGTGTTTGATATTGGCCATCTAAGCAGTTTTATTGCTGACATTGTTGTATAATGAGAACTTCCCTTTGTCAGCTGCATTACATGTATTAGTGTCTTGCAGTAATTTAGAAAGAATTTTAAAGACCTCCTAGCCTTAACTGCATTCGGGTAGGTTCAAGGTGATTTGGATGTACCCCTTAGGAAAAAACATCCATGATACCAATGATGATCTCTACATTAATTACTCGTCTCAAATTCGACTTTCCAATTCGAATAGTTTTACAACCAGTTGTTGTAAATCTTTAATGTGTCAAACTATAAATTCTGTTCGATCAAAAAGTCTAAGTTTGAAAGTGAAATATCGAAGGTGTACAGTGTACACACCATCAGGTTGCAGAAATGTAAGGATTATAAAGTCATAGTTTGTGATAAGTATTTAGTTCCTTTGGGAAATATATTCTTAAAGTTTGTTTTAATTTTGTTCAGGCTTTATCGTGGAGAAGGCACTTGTGGAATCAATATGATGACTTCATCAGCTGTTCTTGAGTAGTCCGCTGTTTTAGAGTAGTCAACTGTTCTAGAGTAGTCAGTTGTTCTAAAGTAATAAGCTGTTCTATGGTACTCAACTGTTAGAATAGTCAGTTACTGAAGACTGGAGAGCTGTTCTAGACAGTAAGCTTTTCTATAGTAGTCAGCTGTTCTACAGTAGTCAGCTGTTCTATAGACTAGTAAGCTTTTCTAGACTAGTCTGCTGTTCTAGAGTAGTCAGCTGTTCTATAGAATAGTAAGCTTTTCTAGACTAGTCTGCTGTTTTAGAGTAGTCAGCTGTTCTAGAATTGTCAAAATTTATCAAAGATCGATATTAAAACTTTAAATCTCTTTTGCTTGTATCGTTGTTCCTGATTTTACTCAGGATATTTAATCTCTTATTTAAACAATTATTTATTTAAAATTTGCATGTTTTTGTCAGAAAAATCAATACAGATTTTAAATTTTTTTGATGCTTAAAATCTACTTTACTTGTAAATTTTCTCTTATTTTACTCAACTATTTAACTTTCAGAAAGATGTCTAGGATTTATTCAATTCTTCAGTTTCAATATCTCGGAACATAAAACACAAAGGTCGACAATCATTTTTCAAGAATATTTCACAATATTCTACGAGGTATGTTCAATAAGTTTTGCAAAAAAAATTAAAGGTAATCCTCTAGAAGTCTCAGCACTGCAAAGCTCACTTAACCATCCCGGCTGTCTTCTTTCAACGGACTTTAGTCCTCAAACTTTTTATTTCTACAGGGTGTCTCAAAAAACGGGGAATAAGGGTATATAGGCTCGTTTGTTATCGGATTGAGACCATTTTCAAAATCTACGTTCAATTTCCGATTCAATGAGCCACACTTTTGGCTTGTAGATCTAAAAATAACAATTTTACTGTAATAAACTGTAACCTAACATTGAATATAAAATTGTGCAAACGGAGATTATCTTTTACTTTTTACATCGATGCCAGTTGGAAATCTTAGGAGCTTAAAAAATTGTTATTTTTAGATCTACAAGCCTGAAATTGGACTCATTGAATCGTATATTGTATGTAGATATAAAAAAATGATCTCAATCTTGAAAATCCGATTACAAGCAAGTCTGTAGACCCTTATACAAAATTATCTTTGCAATGACAACTATGATAATATTTTGAAAACCAACCATGGAAAGAGGATACTTGGGATCCTCGATACACAAAAAATTCTTTCCAATTATAAAGCATACACAATTGACATAATCCAAAAAGCATTAGAGGATAATAATATGGACAAAGCAATAGTCTACAAGTAGACTAAAAGGAAAAAATTGCAATGGAAGGTGTTGGCAGAACAAGGAAATAACTGAGCAGACAAAATCCACAAAAACCTCACAAACAGTTGACACAATTAAAAGTTTCTCAAACCAAACTCGCAAGGCTTCCTAGTGGTTGATTTTTTTTATGAATTTGGCATCTGCTATGGTCCTACAAACAAAGTTATAAAGCAAGATTCGAAAAATGGCAAAGATTTGGACATCATTTGCTCCAAAGAGGTCCTAGGAAAAGATACTGATTTGTTTTCTGAAAAGTAGAAAGGTATTCTTTAAGGACTCTTTCTTTTGACTTTTTAAGGTAACCCAACCTCTAGAACACGCTTAAATGGATAAAGGTCTGTAGATAAGATATTTATTATTTACTGTGTGACAAGCATCGTTAACGGGATCTGGGAGAAAGCTAATTGCTTCCAACATATTATCTGATCGACAGTAGCTGGTGAAAAAGTTGAATCAGTGTAAATATGCTAAACTTTTTTTTTAATAACAGGGCTGAGACATCTAGAAGTACCTTAAAAAAATTCGCAAAACTTATTGCATCCCTCGTACAAGAAAAATTGAAATAGAAGATTAACATAAATTTTACAAGAAAATAAGATTTTTTAAAATGATATGAAAAAGATAGTGATGGCTGAAAATCGTCGTTCTTATGCCTGGCCGGAGGCCGGGGTTCCCAGGCTACCTAGACCTCTTCTACCCCAGCAGGTACAATTATTATTATTATTATCATTATTATTATTATCTGTATGCTAGGTGCCTGAAGTACAACTGCAGGTAGCTGAAGTATCAACTATAGAAGAGGAGAATACTAGAGAAGATAATAGTATAGAAGAACTAGAGTTTAGAGGAGATACTCATGCTGATATTATACTTGACGGGCTTAACAAACTCAGGTCACAAGTATTAATCAATAAAAACCAATATAAAATTAATAATACGTACATTGAGACCCATAAAACTGTTGAAGAGGTAAAGGCGACTGTTAGACTCAAGCAAATAGGTGGCAACAGTGAAATGGACCAATTATACACGACGTCACAAGTGTCAAATATAACAAGGCAAACGAAATGTTCTAAAATTAGTTGACATGTTTTCCAAGATTAAATAAAAAAGTGTTGAAACTGAAACTAAAGAAATTTATTTCTTTATAAGATAAGCACTTTATTCTAAAATTATCAATATTATTAATAATTTTGTCGGAAACAAAAACTGAATTAACACTTGTGACGTCGGAATACAGCTGTACTGAGAGTGTACAAATTTTACGTTGCCATCCATTGTACCATAATCTATTTGGACTCAAGTTATGATTTCCAATGTCCATAAAACACAGCATTTTTACAGAGTGTAGAGACCCATTTCATTTGATAAAATCAAAACATAATATGCATAAAGGATGTCTTTTTGTCGTCTGCCTTTTACACAGTTTTATGAGTCGGTTATAGGTTATCAAAAAAGAGGAAACTTTGCCAGTTAATTTTTTTCCCCAAATCTTTTAAAAGTCACCATTTTCCCCCTCCCAGCTAATTCTTCAAAATATATTTTATAATATTGAAAAAAATAATTAATTTTCTACTTTTAATTTGATCAAACATTTTTGTTTTCTGAAAGGATCATTTCAAAGTTTTGTTTCAGGAAGGAGAATACGTTTACTGATGTAAGAATAAAAGTAGAAGAACAAGAGTTTCCTGCTCATAGATGTGTTCTATCCTCATTCTCTCCATATTTCAGGGTTAGTCCCCCCCCCCCCTTTGATACTTCTAACAATGAATCCTGTAAGATAAAATTTGATATTAGATAATTAATGTTTGTGCCGAGTAATCATTTGGATTTGTTAAAGGATTTGTTAATATTATCCATTGTAAGTTAATACTTGTTATCCATAGTTGTTTCATGTGATGAATATCATTTAGTTAAATGAGAATAAAAAAGATATCAGCTGAATGGGACTCTTTATTTTTACAACTAATGGGAGAAAAAGTTGTCTTTCTTGTTAATTTTGACAACTAGTCCATTTCTCTGTTGCATCTCATTGTCCTTGTTAATCTATTTTCATTGTGGTTTCAATTCAAAGTGATAACAATGGATTAAATCTTTTGCTTAAACAGATTTTAAGGTAGAAAAACGACGATAGCTTCCACATTGATCAGTTAAAGGTATAAATGGTATTCTGGAATGGAATATCACTTGAAATTCCAAGGACTGTCCCTTTAAAGTTGTGTTTCTTGTTTAGGCAATGTTTACTGCTGGTCTTGCAGAATCTGACATGGAGGTGGTTCCATTACAAGGAGTAGAACCTGATATGATTAGGTAGGAGTAGGAGTAGGAGTAGGAGTAGGAGTAGGAGTAGGAGTAGCAGTAGGAGTAGGAGTAGGAGTAGGAGTAGAACCTGATATGATTAGGCAGGAGTAGGAGTAGGCGTAGGCGTATACATGCAATATTGCAATATTATGCGTTCAATACATTTGTTGTTGTTGAAATATGTTGGAATCTCAAATTTTTTTATTTATTTTGGTAGTAGAACGTGCAGATCAAGGTCTGATCTTATTTTATGTGTTAGGAACCTGCTTTTGTGTATACAGGTTCTATCAGTATATCTAAACATAACTTTGTTAGAAACCTGCTAGAGTTTGTGTATACAGGTTCTATCAGTATATCTAAACATAACTTTGTTAGGAACCTGCTAGAGTTTGTGTATACAGGTTCTATCAGTATATCTAAACATAACTTTGTTAGGAACCTGATAGAGTTTGTGTATACAATACAGGTTCTATCAGTATATCTAAACATAACTTTTTTAGGAACCTCCTAGAGTTTGCGTGTACAGGTTCTATCAGTATATCTAAACATAACTTTTTTAGGAACCTCCTAGAGTTTGCGTGTACAGGTTCTATCAGTATATCTAAACATAACTTTGTTAGGAACCTGCTAGAGTTTGCGTATACAGGTTCTATCAGTATATCTAAACATAACTTTGTTAGGAACCTCCTAGAGTTTGCGTATACAGGTTCTATCAGTATATCTAAACATAACTTTGTTGGGAACCTGCTAGAGTTTACGTATACAGGTTCTATCAGTATATCTAAACATAACTTTGTTAGGAACCTTCTAGAGTTTATACAGGTTCTATCAGTATATCTAAACATAACTTAGTTAGGAACCTGCTAGAGTTTGCGTACATACAGGTTCTACAAACAGTACAACTAAACATATACAGGTTCTATCAGTATATCTAAACATAACTTAGTTAGGAACCTGCTAGAGTTTGCGTACATACAGGTTCTACAAACAGTACAACTAAACATAACTTTGTTAGAACAGGTTCTATCGGTATAACTAAACATAACTTTTTTAGGAACCTGCTATAGTTTGCGTAAACAGGTTCTATCAGTATATCTAAAACTAACTTTGTTAGGAACCTGCTAGAGTTTGTGTATACATGTTCTATAATCAGTATAACTAAACATAACTTTGATAGAACAGGTTCTATCAGTATAACTAAACATAACTTTGTTAGGAACCTGCTAGAGTTTGCGTATACAGGTTCTATCAGTATAACTAAACATAACGTCCAGAACCTTCTCTCAGCAGCAAACCTTCTCGAGGTTCTCGAGGTTAGAGATGCTTGCTGCCAGTTCCTGGATAGGTCAGTAAACACAATATACACAATTTTATAAAAATTTAAAATGTTTGTAATATCTGATCTTCATCTCATTATCATATGTATCTATATATTAATATGTTTTAGCATAAATATCAAAGAGAAGATAAAATTGAGATTAAATGTGTAATTTTTATAAAACATTTTAAGGTTTCTAAACTTATCCTGTTATAAAATAGATTTAAGATAGAAATAGATAATATAACTGGAATAATGTATACGGATAAAAGTGTCTGATATAATTAAGAAAATATATACCAAGGAATATGTATGAAAGTATTTATCTAGGAATATGGATGAAACTAACTGTCTTGGTATATGGATAAGAATAAATATCTAGGTATATGGATGAGAATATATATCTAGGAAATGGATGAAACTAAGTTTCTTGGTATATGGATAAGAATAAATATCTAGGAATATGGATGAAACTAATAAGAATATATTTCTATTAATATGGATGAATATATATCTAGGAATATGGATGAAACCAACTGTCTTGGAATATGGATACGAATATATATCTAGGAATATGGATGAAACTAACTGTCTTGGAATATGGATACGAATATATATCTAGGAATATGGATGAAACTAACTGTCTTGGAATATGGATACGAATATATATCTAGGAATATGGATGAAACCAACTGTCTTGTAATATGGATAAGAATATATATCTAGGAATATGGATGAAACCAACTGTCTTGGAATATGGATACGAATATATATCTAGGAATATGGATGAAACTAACTGTCTGGGTATTCACTGTTTTGCTGAAGTACATGCATGTACAGAACTCATGCATAGAGCTAAAGCTTTCCTTCTTCAACATTTTCAGGTAAAGCTATTCATACTTTTGAGAGATTTGTACTTATCTTTTATCATTTAACAATGAAAATGTAAGATTTCGCGGATTTGTATCATTAGCGGATTTCTAAAACAAAGTGAGGCAATAATAAGTTTTATCTATAAAAAGTTAGGTAAGTGAGGCAATAATAAGTTTTATCTATANTTTATGCTTTATGGCCACATACATACATACAAACAAACAGACAGCCTTACTATTTTAATAACTAGATTATGGGCATAATATTAAATATTAATCATAAACATTAAACAATCTTCTGATACTAAAAAGTTAGGTAAGTGAGGCAATAATAAGTTTTATCTATAAAAAGTTAGGTAAGTGAGGCAATAATAAGTTTTATCTATAAAAAGTTAGGTAAGTGGATAATTTTTAGTTTAATAACAACAAAACAAAACATTTAAGACTTCCCAAAACTGTAAAACTGTAGACTCGGATCCTGGTTGTGAAAAGTTGATTGTTCAGGATATAGTAGATGGTGACGAGTTCAACACTATCTCGGAGTCAAAGTTAGTTGAGATCATCAGCAGCGACCAGCTCGTCGTCGACAAGGAGGAAACCGTCTTCTACGCCTGCCTGTCCTGGCTTCAGGTTCAACAAAAAATATGCAGATTTAGCTTAGAGAATATTTATTTAAAGGGATTGTAACCCTGATTTTAAGTTACCTCACACAAAAATGTGAATGCCTGATTCACAACGGTACCCTTGAAACCTGTATCTTATCAAGAATGTGGAAGATATTGTCGTTTTTCTAGTTTGAAAGGTATTATACCTGAAAATTTCTTTTTGTCTTCATGCAGTAGAAGTGTGAAAGTCTCTTATAAATGGAGAATTGTGAATCGGGCATTGTCGTCTTTGCATGGAGCGACACTACGCTTACAGTCCCTTTAAATAATCAGATAATTATTTTAATAAGCAAATTTTCTGAAATTTTCTCTTTTTTTCTTTCGCTATTTTTATGATTAAACTTAAGGCTTTGACAATCATCCAACAGGTTGATTTTTTTATTTGTTTATTTTTTGCATTTTGTATCTATGTTTTTTGTATCTTAATTGTTTCTGTATTTCTTGTATAACAATGCATTTCTGTAACACCTACAAAGGATGAGACTTCAGATTTTATTCATCTTAATTATTTCTTAAATCTACAATCAAGATATCTATTATAGCTCCAGTATTAGGAAATATTTAATAAGAAAAATATACTTGGTGATTACTGGGTAAACAAACTTCAAAAGGTGTTATTTAAGAATCCATTCTTTAAATGTAATTTAAAATTTCAGCTTGTACGCAATTTAGAGGTAACTGAATTAAAATTTAACATGTATTTTATTTCTAATTAGGCACAAGAACGTGTGCCTAAATGTTTTTACAACATTTTGGAGCATGTGCGCTTGCCGCTACTTTCTCCGTACTTTATCCACGATGTTGTCGAGAGAACTGCTGCCGTTACGGAGAGCGCAGAATGCCGCAGGTAATTTGTCTACTATTTTTTTTGTTCTGTTTGTTTCCGAAGCATATAGTAAGTGAGGTCCGAAAAAATGTGAAGTTTTCGTCATCTTTTTTAAATCACGGTCGCTAAAGTTTTGTATGATCCAACTGAACTTTCTCTAAACTAACATTTGCAACAATTACAGATTATAAATTCTCATCATAGCGACAAATTGAATAAAAATAAGAAGACGACATTAATTTAACAGTTTCCTGGTTTTCATTTTACAGTAAGCCTACCTTTTTAAAATTGCTATGAATACAAGGAAGGGGCATGGGTTAAGAGAAATTTTATTATTATGTTTTTCAGCGTAAAGAATACGAATTCACGCTTTAAAAGCGTAAGAATTCATACTATTTTATTCGATGGCCATGTAAAAGAATAAAAAATATTAATTAGAATTTAGTTAGAATTTTTCAAATGGACCCTTAAAAAATCTTATATAATATACGGAGTTGTCATGTACTTAATTTCATTGAAAACTTATATGCCGACAAAGCAGTAAACAATAGAAAAGGCGAAAAAATATGTTTAAAATAGATAAAATTGTGATCGAAAGGACCGAACTGTTGATAATGGAATTGTCGAAGAAAGCTTTTCCTTCTAGTATCATGTTGTTGCATTTGTGATAAATATCTGGATTTTCCTGTTCGATTCTTAAAAGGGGATGTCGAAAATACAGAGTGTCCTACGAAACATGACAGTTTGTAAATAGTTTAGAATGTCTTCTTCCATAATTTGTCAGGTTGTCTAATACCAAAGACAATAATAAAAATATAATATAGGAGTAATATTGTAGTAAAATTAATTTCAAAGTAAATATACTTGAGCGAAAGATTTTTTAAACGAAATAAACTGCAACCAGCCTTTAATATCTAATACAGTGTATGGAAGACGACATTCAAGACCATTTATCAACTGTCATGTTTCGTGGGACACCCTGTATATAAACTTACCTGAATTAAGACTGGTGGACGAGGCCAAAACATTCCATCTTCTACCGGATCGAAGAGATTCAGGTGGAGAGAGAACTAGACCTAGGATGAGTGCAGGAACTACTCAGGTTAGCATCTAGTCAACATTTAAACTTATGAATGGTAAATCCCTTCAGACGCCATTAATCCGTATGTTTTGTGGTTCAAAGGATTAAGTTCATTCCTATTTGATAAGAGAGCTAGATTCGCCTGCTGGAAGCGTAGACCAATCAGAATCCGGAAAAGTCTAATTTTGGCAATTGAGTTGAAATTTTGCGAATTGAGTTGAAAGTTTGAGAATTGAGTAGAAAGTTTGTGAATTGAGTTGAAAGTTTGCGAATTGAGTTGAAAGTTTGCGAATTGAGTTGAAAGTTTGCAAATTGAGTTAACAGTTTGCGATTTGAGTTGAAAGGTTGCGAATTGAGTTGAAAGTTTGCAAATTGAGTTGAAAGTTTGCGAATTGAGTTGAAAGTTTGCGCATTAAGTTGAAGTTTGCGAATTGAGTTGAAAATTTGCTAATTGAGTTGAAAGTTTGCAAATTGAGTTAATAGTTTGCGAATTGAGTTGAAAGTTTGCAAATTGAGTTAACAGTTTGCGAATTGAGTTGAAAGTTTGCGAATTGAGTTGAAAGTTTGCAAATTGAGTTGAAAGTTTGCGAATTGAGTTGAAAGTTTGCGCATTAAGTTGAAAGTTTGCAAATTGAGTTGAAAATTTGCTAATTGAGTTGAAAATTTGCTAATTGAGTTGAAAGTTTGCAAAATGAGTTAACAGTTTGCGAATTGAGTTGAAAGTTTGCAAATTGATTTAACAGTTTGCGAATTGAGTTGAAAGTTTGCGAAATGAGTTGAAAGTTTGCAAATTGAGTTGAAAGTTTGCGAATTGAGTTGAAAGTTTGCGCATTAAGTTGAAAGTTTGCGAATTGAGTTGAAAATTTGCTAATTGAGTTGAAAATTTGCTAATTGAGTTGAAAATTTGCTAATTGAGTTAGCTTTTTTCAAATTAAAAGTGTCCGCCTAGTTCAGACCTGGGAGATAAGCAAGCTATTCTTTACAAAAGTTTTCTCCTTAGGTTGGATTTATTGTTATAGACGAAAAAAATGCAATGGGTTTGAGATTTTTTTTGCGTCATTTTTTTTTCTTACAATGAACTAGGCATTGTAAGCTTAATGTAAAGTAACCCTCCATGTTAATATGACAATGCCAGATTCACAACGGTACCCCTACTCTGATCAAAAATGTGGAAGATATAATCGTTTTTCTGACTCGAAAAGTGTTTCTTTCAAGCAAGAAATTAGTAAGTCACTTTCGTAGACAAACCGCAATTGAAAAGAAACAGTTTAAATGAATCAAAATAATTATTATCTAATTCGTACTTAATTTGATCAGATATAACTTTCAAGGGTACTGTTGTAAATCATGCATTGCCATTTTTTTTAAACTACGCTTACAGTCCCTTTAAATGATTAAAAGTTCTAACTTATGATTATCCAAAAATTAATATCAAAATATTAATTTCAAGAATAAATAATTATATCACTTTTAGGAATTTTTCTTTAATTATAAACGTTAATTTGCGCCTCTAAAATTTTTCCTTTATTCTGTTCACATGTCTTTCTGAAAAATATTTGTTTATATAAAAATAAATCCGTGTCCTTAAAGAATCCAAATTAAATGTTAATGAAATTGACAATTTTATTAAACGTGAATCTTCAATAAAGGGAAAAATTGTACCTTTAATGACTTTAACTATAACAGTACCTACAGGGTTATTGTACAAAGAATAAGACTTTAATGACTTTAACTATAACAGAACCTACAGGGTTATTGTACAAAGAATAAAACTTTAATGACTTTAACTATAACAGAACCTACAGGGTTATTGTACAAAGAATAAAACTTTAATGACTTTAACTATAACAGAACCCACAGGGTTATTGTACAAAGAATAAGACTTTAATGACTTTAACTATAACAGTACCTACAGGGTCATTGTACAAAGAATAAGACTTTACTGACTTTAACTATAACAGTATCTACTGGGTTACTTTACAAAGAATAACACTTTAATGACTTTAACTATAACAGTATCTACTGGGTTACTTTACAAAGAATAACACTTTAATGACTTTAACTATCTACTGGGTTACTTTACAAAGAATAACACTTTAATGACTTTAACTATAACAGTACCTACTGGTTTACTTTACAAAGAATAACACTTTAATGACTTTAACTATAACAGAACCTACAGGGTTATTGTTCAAAGAATAAGACTTTAATGACTTTAACTATAACAGTACCTACAGGGTTATTGTACAAAGAATAACACTTTAATAACTTTAACTATTATAGTACCTACAGGATTATGTACAAAAAATAAGACTTTAATGACTTTAACTATAACAGTAACTACAGGGTTATTGCACAAAGAATAACTATAACAGTACCTTAAGTCATAACGATCTTTTGGCTGAATTTAGTTTTTACCTTTATATTGTTTTTAAATCACGAAGTATATACTTTATGATACAGCAGATAAAAAACCTGTTTACAGTTTAAAAGAACCAGGAATGTAAGAAACCTGTTTACAGTTTAAAAGAACCAGAAATGTAAGAAACCTCTTTACAGTTTAAAAGAACCAGGAATGTAAGAAACCTGTTTACAGTTTAAAAGAACCAGGAATGTAAGAAACCTGTTTACAGTTTAAAAGAACCAGGAATGTAAGAAACCTGTTTACAGTGTAAAAGAACCAGGAATGTAAGAAACCTGTTTGCAGTTTAAAAGAACCAGGAATGTAAGAAACCTGTTTACAGTTTAAAAGAACCAGGAATGTAAGAAAACCTGTTTACAGTTTAAAAGAACCAGGAATGTAAGAAACCTGTTTACAGTTTAAAAGAACCAGGAATGTAAGAAAACCTGTTTACAGATAAAAGAACCGAGAATGTAAGAAAACCTGTTTACAGTTTAAAAGAACCAGGAATGTAGGAAACCTGTTTACATTTTAAAAGAACCAGGAATGTAAGAAACCTGTTTACAGTTTAAAAGAACCAGGAATGTAAGAAAACCTGTTTACAGTTTAAAAGAACCAGGAATGTAAGAAAAAATGCCATTAAAAGTTCCGCACAGTCGTCTTTAAAGTCTCATCCTTTGAGAGTAACCCTTATCAAAACCCTTATATTGAAATATGATAGGATGTAATACTTTATTACTTGAGCTGAACACATTTTTTGATCATTTTTTACGTAGAAAAGTTTTCTAGAAAAGGATTGGCTGAAAGTTATCAACTTTTTTATGAAGATCATGATGATCAAATTATCAAAGCTTAGATAATATAAGATTCTGTAAAGATGGCGTTACAATCCCTTTAATTGGTTAGGTAATAGTGGCAGTTGGTGGTGAGGATGATAAGGTTGTGATGAGAAGCGTAGAATTCTGGGATATAGGTAACATTACCATTTGGCGTAATTTTTAAAAAAAAGTTTAAATTTTTGGGGAGGTATATTGGCGCTTTGAAGACGCTCTTCAAAAAATATTTTCTAATTTGTTAATTTGTAAGATCTAACATTTAAGTTTAATATTTACTAATTCAAAAAAACTAGTTTTGGGAATTAACACAATTTTAGCTAAAAGTTTGCTTTTGTCAAGCTATGCTGAATATCACTTCAGTCATGTTTAATGTTTTTCGTTTAGTTTGGAACTTTGGCCTTAAAGGGAGTGACCGGCTATGTAAGGTTGTTGAACTGAGTATGCAGTGTTGTGGAAAACTTCTTTAGGATTCATTTAGTAGGAGTTTTCTACTCAGCTCAACTACCTTACATAGCCGGTGACTCCCTTTAAAGTTTTAAAGTAATATTGCAAAAATAAATCTCTTCTCCACCCCACCCTCTTTCTTCTTAGTCTTTGAATTTAAGAGTAAGTATAGAAGTTTGAGCAAATTTATAAATTGTTTTGGGGTTGCAGTGACCGGAGCTTGGAAAACTCTTGCCTGTCTTCCTTTCGCGGTCAGCAAACATGGACTTGTGGTCAGCGGTCACGGGAAACTGTACATGGCAGGTTGGTTTTATGTACATAATACATAGAACCATAGATTACTAACAATACAGGTAGAAAACCAGATTTTGTATTCTGTAGATTTAGGAGTTACACACACGCTCTCTATGTCTTGTAATTCAAAGCGGAATGCGCTTAACTCCTTTGGGTTTCTGCCTCAGGGTTATTGTGAACATAAAACCCCTAAATCTTGAAAAGACAACATCCAGTGTTCTATCTGTATTATTTTTAATCTATGCATAGTACGTACTGTAGTAGTGTAGTAGACTGTACAGTGTACGGAGTTCATAATATCCATTCAGAGACGACATTGAGATCGTCTTTGAATCGGCTTGTTTAAATCATTCGTTCATCTTGTGATCTTTCAAAATTGGTCTTTGACTCAATTTTTGCAAGTTTGAAAAAAATATATAATCTTTTTTTTTAAAACCCCTGTCCGATCAAATTATGAAAATGACAGACCACATTTTGGAAAGCTCTGGACTATGAATTCCGTTCGCAATTATTATCATACGAATCAGTTAGTAGAGCAAACCTTGCATTATGTATAGATGGAGAATATATTTATTTTATTTTTATAAAGCAAACTGCTGGGGTTATTCTGGACCCCAGGCAAGTTACACCCCTCAGTACTTCCCCTAGACGATATGTACCACGCCTGGGGTTGTCTGTTGTTAATCGCTTAAGGCATGTTCTATTTTTGAACCCTGGATATAAGCGCACGGGGTGTAGGGATTCTGGGAACCTAAGTATGGATCAGCTAGTAGAGCAATGATCTCGCAAACCTTGTATCATCTAGGTGGAGAATATCCTGATGGATCAGCAAGTAGAGCAATGTGGAGATATGATCCTGTCCTAAACGCTTGGCATGAAATGGCAGGGATGAATGTTTGTAGGTATAAGATCTGGATAATTTTTCTAGATTAAAATTTTTTTCTCTCTTTCAGAAAAACTCAGTTTGTTGTGATTTTAACAAAAAAAAGTTTAAACTCCTATTAGCTGCAAAGATGGATTTTTTTCCCAATTGCTTTTAGGGACTTTCGTCGTAATGTTAACCCTTAATTTAAAACTAAAGAATGACACGTCCGATTCAGAACATCAGTATTCTTTCTTTAAACCAGAATTTGATAACAAATGTGGTACATGGTTTTCTTGCTTTCGAAATGTTTAATTCTTGTAATTAATTGGAGCAACCTTCATTATTCAACACATGCGCAAGTCAATTTTTTGCAGAGAAATTTTATTAGATGAAGCTTATGAGGGTGCTATTTTGAATCGGAATCAACTAATTTAAATGTTGCGATCTTTGCAAACTATACAATTGTACACTAAGTGTAAACTGTACAGTTTACGCACATGTATTAGGTCTGAGCTTGGTTTGGTAATGCTGGATGGATGTGTTTATGCTGTTGGAGGTTGGGAGGGTAGATCTAGGTTGGATAGTGTAGAGAGGTTAGTTCACTCATTTATTTGTTATCATTCCTTTTATTATTTATTTATTTCCAATTATTCAGTAATTAGAAACGTGATGTTCAAGATAATCTTTATTTAGGTAACCAATAATCATGATCAGTTTATATAATGGTTCATCTATAATTGTATCAATAGTCTTTTTCATTTTTCAGGGGTAAATACGGAGTACACACATTTGTATTAAAATATTGACTATTAATGGATAGAAAATACCAATCAACCTTCTATGATTTGTACAAAATAGATTTGTTTTGAAAAAAAACGAAATCACGTTGTTAATTTCGGATTACAGTTATCCTCCACAAAACTTATCCAATATGAATAACATACATTACGTGGCAAATATAAATTGAATACATCACGTGGCAATTATGGATTCCATACATTACGTGGCAATTATGGATTACATACATACATCACGTGGCAATTATGGATTACATACATCACGTGGCAATTATGGACTACATTTATCACGTATTTGATTATATTGATTTCTAGATATGACCCAGAGACAAATAGTTGGCAGTTTATACCGCCGCTAAAAATGGCGGTTACGAGCCCCGCCGTGGTGGCATATGATGGCGCACTATACGTTACCGGCGGGGCTATTCTGGAAGACGGAGACGGGATAGAACTTGTTCAAAGGTATCATAATAATCATAGACATAATCATAATCATCAACCATCATCAATCATTCATCATCATCATCATTATCATTATCATAATAATCATCATCATCATCATCATCATTAATATAATCACCATCATCATCATCATCATCATCATCATCATTAATATAATCACCATCATCATCATCATCACTTTCACCACCATCATCATCAATATTATCATCATCATCATTATCAGTATCATCATCATCATCAGAATCATTATCATCAGTATCATCATCATCAGTATCATCATCATCATCATCATCATCATCAGTATCATTATCAATATCATCATCAGAATCATTATCATCATCATCATCATCAGTATCATCATCATTATCAGTATCAGTATTATCATGAGTATCATCACCATCACCATTATCTTCACCATCATTATCACCATCATCTTCACCATCATCGTCATCATCATTACCATTATCATCATTATCACCATCACCATCAATATCATTACCATCATCATCACCATCACCATCATCATCACCATCATCACAATCATCATCATTGTCATCATCATCAGTATCATCATTTCACTAACTCACTTGTTGTATATTCCAGGTATGATAATAAAACAGGTTATTGGACTGAGATGGCCAGCATGCTGATACCTCGGAGTGGGAGCGCGGCATGCGTGCTCGGAGGATATATTTACGTGGTTGGAGGCTGGCATGCCAGTACAGAGAATACAAACAAGGAACAGTATTTTTTAGACAAACGAATGAATAAATGAACGAATAGATAAATCAGCAAATGAGTAAGATTTAATGCAGGTGGAAATATTTGATGTGCTATGAATGAATGAATTAATAAGGAAATCAATGAATAATGCTGTATTAGGTTGAAAGATATGATGTTGCTCGGAATAAATGGGAGTTTGTCGGATGTATGTGTGAGCGCAGATATCGGCCAGCGGCCGCGGCTGTAGGTAAACTCGCCATTTCTCTTTTAATTATCAGCAAACAAAAAACTTCCAAAATCTGCACTTGATATTTTTTTAAATATACCTATGTAATCATAAACTTCCCTAACATATTTTGATGCGGATCCGGATCAGGGATATTGTAAAAAATAGATCCGATTACATCACTTGAACATTTTGAAAAGTTTTGATAATTTCTTTTGCAAAATTTGTTTCCAAAATGCTCATCTTCAGTTTTGCCATGTATACCATTCCATAAGTCAATTATTAGAAATGTTTATAACTAATTACTCATTACTGAACATATCTTTACAATGTGTTTGTTTTGAGAGTATTTTGTTTATGTTTTGGTTAGTATTTTACCTATCCTGGGATCCAGTGGATTATTGATCTGGGTTTTAAGCACGGTTCACTGTTCACAGGACACAGATATCAATTGAAAAATTCGATATCAAAAGTGTATGTAATAAAATGCGAATTTAAGGAAAACAGTTATTAGGGACTTAAATCTTACGTTACGGTCGGAGCAAAAAAAGTTATATGAAGATGACATTCAGACTTGAAATATAGATTTTAAATAGTCTAATGAACATAAAACACGGCAATTGTGCATTGATTTAGACCCATTTCACTAGTAAATTGATTTTCAAGGTAAAATTATTAGCAAAACACATTATATTGCTTAAATATCGTCTTCTAATCGCACAGTTTCATTGTTATCTCTATACAAAATTATAATTGCCATTATTCTTATAAAAGAGGTTTATCAATTATTCAGTTACAGTGTAAATTTTAATGAAAAATGTCATAAACGGAGAAATAATAATGATTACAATAATATCCAAGTTGTTTTTCAATAATGATAAAGCCGGGTTCTGTTTTCTCTGGTCGTATTCAGGGGGGCTCAGCCCCCTGGACTAGTGAAAACTATGGTTTTCATGGGGTTTTCAGGTCCTAACTGGTGCTGAGCCCCCTGGAAAGAAAAAAATTTAAGTCCCCCCAATGGACAAATTGCTGAATACGCCCCTGATAACAGATGTTCTTCGCCATTTAACTTAAAAAGACTCTCATTGTAAACTGTGCTAAGGTGGGAGAATGTACGTGCTGGGAGGGGAGGAGGGATTAGACCGGCATCATGATACTATTGAGGTTTATGATCCTGACTCAGATACCTGGAGTATATCCGGATACTTGACTAGTAGCAGGAGCTGGTTATCCGCTGCTACCCTATCCATCAGGTATACCCGGATACTTGACTAGTAGCAGAAGCTGAATATCTGCTGCTACCATATCCAACAGGTATATCCGGATACTTGACTAGTAGCAGAAGCTGAATATCTGCTGCTACCATATCCAACAGGTATATCCGGATACTAGACTAGTAGCAGAAGCTGAATATCTGCTGCTACCATATCCAACAGGTATATCCGGATACTTGACTAGTAGCAGAAGCTGAATATCTGCTGCTACCATATCCAACAGGTATATCCGGATACTTGACTAGTAGCAGAAGCTGAATATCTGCTGCTACCATATCCAACAGGTATATCCGGATACTTGACTAGTAGCAGAAGCTGAATATCTGCTGCTACCATATCCAACAGGTATATCCGGATACTTGACTAGTAGCAGAAGCTGAATATCTGCTGCTACCATATCCAACAGGTATATCCGGATACTTGACTAGTAGCAGAAGCTGAATATCTGCTGCTACCATATCCAACAGGTATATCCGGATACTTGACTAGTAGCAGGAGCTGGTTATCCGCTGCTACCCTGTCCATCAGGTAGAACTGGAAACTTGTAGCAGAAGCTGAGTATCCGCTGCTACCCTGTCCAACAGGTATAACTGGAAACTTGTAGCAGAAGCTGGGTATCCGCTGCTATCCTATCCATCAGGTATATCCGGATACTAATAACAGAAGCTGAGTATCTGCTGCTATCCTATCCATCAGGTATATCCGAATACTAGTAGCAGAAGCTGAGTATCTGCTGCTATCCTATCCATCAGGTATATCCGAATACTAGTAGCAGAAGCTGAGTATCCGCTGCTATCCCATCCTTCAGGTATATCCGGATACTAGTAGCAGAAGCTGAGTATCCGCTGCTATCCTACCATCAGGTATATCCGGATACTAGTAGCAGAAGCTGAGTATCCGTTGCTATCCCATCAATCAGGTATATCCGGATACTAGTAACAGAAGCTGAGTATCTGCTGCTATCCTATCCATCAGGTATATCCGAATACTAGTAGCAGAAGATGAGTATCCGCTGCTATCCCATCCATCAGGTATATCCGGATACTAGTAGCAGAAGCTGAGTATCCGCTGCTATCCTACCATCAGGTATATCCGGATACTAGGAGCAGAAGCTGAGTATCCGTTGCAATCCCACCCATCAGGTATATCCGGATACTAGTAGCAGAAGCTGAGTATCCGTTGCTACCCTATCCATCTGGTATATCCGGATACTAGTAGCAGAAGCTGAGTATCCGCTGCTATCCCATCCATCAGGTATATCCGGATACTAGTAGCAGAAACTGAGTATCCGCTGCTATCCTACCCATCAGGTATATCCGGATACTAGTAGCAGAAGCTGAGTATCCGCTGCTATCCTACCATCAGGTATATCCGGATACTAGTAACAGAAGCTGAGTATCCGTTGCTACCCTACCATCAGGTATATCCGGATACTTAAAGCAGGAGCTTCACTTTACGTCCAAGTATGAGAAAACCTAATTTATTTTATAACATTTTAGAAATTCGAATCTGTTCAGTTCTTTTCAATATCTCTTAAAACCCTGGAGTTGTAATTGTAAAATGTAAGATTCAAATCTAACTGAGAATTGACTTTAAATTAACATGTGTCTAGGAAGGATATGGGACGGGAACGAATGCCGTGTTCCTGACACAGGTACAGAATACTTTAACACCCCGGTCAACCCAGTTCATAACTAACCTGGCGACTGGACGGGACCTGGATAAACGAAGGATAACAAAATGAGAAGATGGAAGGGAAAAACAAAAACTTCCATCGAACCCTGTAAAAATGAAGACAACGTCTGTTTGAAAGTTGTGAAGAAAATTTATGAAATTTATGTATTTAAAGTAAGTTGTGAACGCTTTAAAATGTCATTTAGTTAATTTTTGGGAGCCGTTAACCTTATTCAAAAAATTATATTTAAAAGAAGGTGATGTTTCTCTTGAACAGTTAAAGATTAACAATTTCACAGAAGCAATTTAAATCTGTATCTACTATTGGATGTAGATTTTTATTTCCGTTTAAAATTCTAAGGTCTGCGCTGCTTATCCCTTTTGGGCACTTTTGAAAGATCACATAAAAATGCGTTGACTTAAAATCGTTTAGAATATTCTTTTGAAAATGTGCATATATTTCAAGAAATTTAATATATGATTTTGAAAGAAAAAGTTATGAACCCCTAGTCCTGGGTTTCATTGTATATATTGTGCATACGGTATCACTGTCATTTTTATGATTCAAAGAAGTTTTAAGAAGCCCGTAAGTAATAAAGGTTGCTCATTATTTCGAGACTCGCTAATTTTCATACAGGGTTACCCACAAAGGATGAGACTTTAAGACGATTCTACGGGATTTATATGTATAATTCTCTACAACTACAACTTGTTTCTTTTGTTGCCAGATATCTAAAAATGCCAAAAAAAAAATCTATATTTAAGCCAAAAGACTTAATTCAACCTTAGAATTGTCATATTTAAAGAGTTTTAGGTCGTCTTTACAGTCTCATCCTTTGTGGGTATACTGGAATTTTTTAACCTATAAATATCTTTTGTCAAAGTCAGCCGCAATGAGGTTTTAAGTCGATTTTTCAACAGTTATTTTGTGTGGAAAGAGGAAGTGGGTTTAAAGGGAGTGTTCGCGAAAAATAAAAGGGGGTACAGGCTTACGGCGTAAAATAAGCGCTTTTGATCGCTACTAATCTTACTTCTTTCAGTTGCGTCTATGAGGAGAAAATTGTTAAAAACGACTCATACCGAAGAACGTAGTCCAAATAAATTCAGAAAGTTGCAACATTCAACTCGGATCGTAAATAATCAATTTAATTCCAAACAAATCATTCAGATATTACAACCAATTGTCATCGATTATTTTTCGATGCATTTTTATATAGTTAATATTTCAATTTAAATGTTTGCGAACACTCCCTTTAAGCAATAAAAAGCTGCCTATAGTGTTATTTGGTACCATCCAGTTTTGTAAAACTTGATATTTACATGTACAAAATTAACATACAAACAAATCTTTATAGATGGAATCGATTTTGATTTGAAACCTTCACTATGTACATAATACATGTACAATGTACATTATACATGTACAATGTACATATAATCTTTAAGAATCAAATATTAATTATGTATTAAGAAAATTACAGCTTTAAAAGCGTAACTATTTTTCCTATTGAATAAAAGTATGTTTTGACAGGGCACTAAATATTAGGAAGTAAAATAGCATTATTGTATTTCTTGTATAATGTGTTAAATGTTAACTCGTATCTCATAGTATTTATAGATATCTAAACCAAAGTACATATATAATAAAAATTTGCAACAAATGTACTTGTTTATTTATATTTTAGAGAAGTCAAAGTCGCCTTGTCGATCTTGTGAATACATGGGGACTTTCTTTTTCCCCTGATAAGTACAGTCGTCGTTGTTCTTTAGAAGGAAATGTCCGATTCACAACGGTACACTCTAAAACTAGACATTTTCTGGCTAAAAAAGTGCTTAATTAATCTTCTCCGTTGTTTTTGTCGCAGAAATTCATTTTACAGAGAAACCACAATTAAATTTCCAAAGAGGAGGTGATGGATGTCTCATACGTTCTTAGTCAGACTAAGCTCTTAAGGGAACAGTCCTTTCTCATTTCTTTTGTAAGTAAAGTTCGAAATGTTTTTAGTTATCTAATATCTATGAACTTTTTGATTTATGTTGAGATGGCCAATTTTTGTCACGAATGGGTTTATTTTTTATTGTTATCCTAACTGTGTTCAGTAAGAAACGTTATTTTTGAGAGAAAAAAATATTTAAATTTTGGTTTATTGTTCAGCATCAATATTTAATCGACTCACGACGGTACCCTGGAATCAAGTAACTTTCATATTTGAGATGAGATCAAGTTTGTCAATTTTCTTTCTTGTCTCTGCTGCATATATTTGCAAGTCAATTTTATCAAGGAACCTGTTTTTCTCGGTTATTAAATTGGGCCAGATCGTTGCGAATCGGTAAATGTTCGGTCCCTTGAAATACGTAATCGATCCCTTTGATACAAACAGATAAAGTGTTGAAAATACGTGATCAGTCCCTTTAATACAAACAGATTGTGTGTATGTAGCTCCTGAGTTAAACAGTTTTTGCCCCCTGAACTATCGTTGCAACAATCTGGATAGGGTCTGCATTTGCTTGCAGGCCTGATACTGTCTTGTACAAAAAATTTGCACTCATATTTTTAATGGGTTGCACTTTCATTTACGGAGATATTTTAGTGAGGGCTATTAATAAAACATACTTACATGACAAAATAGAAGAGAATAAAAAATTGATAACAAGTTTCCCCATAAATTTTTGCCAGACACAGGGTGGTCAACAAAAGATGAGATTGTAAAGACGACCTGAAACTCTTAAAATTTGATGATTCCAAGAATTAAATAAGATTTTAATGGTGTACTTAATAATTTGACAAAGAAAAAACATATTAACAGTTCCAGGGAGTCATGAATACTATGTAACAGAATAAATTCCATACAGAATTCTACAAATTCTTCAAATGTCGTATTTTCAATTAAAATTCCAGGAAATCTACAGAAAATTTTTGTGAATAATAAGACATTTCAGGAACCAATAACTGAATAAAATTAATTATTTTTCGATGAAATAGTTAATTTTCATTTTCTCAACCTGTTCCAAAACAACTAATTAGTTTAATGTAGAATATTTAATACATTTTTCGTCGTCGTTATTGAATAATTTTTTTAAGACCGATTTCAAAATTAACAATCTATGAGGGTTTTAAAGATTGAATTTGCGCTCTTATACACCATAAAAACGTCTTGTAGTTCTCAAATGATTTCAAATAATTTCTCTTCATTACTGTATTCTCAGTTCAACTACAATTCATTGCCGGTCACTCTCTTTAAAGAGAGACCGCAATTAAAAATAACCAATCGTTTTATAGAGAAATCATGAATATCTCATTCTTTCTTGATCGGACAACGCTTTTCATTATACCACTGTGAATCGAACATGCCACTCTTTAACTGAAAGGTTCCTTAAAATATCCTCTACAGTCCCTTTAAGGGACGTAGATATGGGAAAGAGTGACAGTTAGGAGAATGTCGGGAGAGGAATTGTATCATATGTATTATCTATCTATCTATCTCTCTTTTTATATATATATTATCTATCTATGTATGTACAGGTGTGAAGAATTAAGTTAATGAAGAGTTAATGCTAGGTAAGGATAATAACACTATACCATAACAACTTATTTCTGATGATAGATAGATAGACCGAATGTTAGCTATATTTTCTAGGATAGATAGATAGAATCATAGATACAAAGGCAGATAGACAAAAATTTAGATATTTAAGGATAGATAGATAGAAAGAAAGATAGATAGAAAGATAGATATACAAGGATAGATGAATAGAAAGATAGACAGAAAGTTAGATATATAAGGATAGATAGATAGAAAGATGACGGAAAGTTAAATATATAAGGATAGATGGATAAAAAGATAGAAGAATAGATACAAAGAAAGATAGACATAAATAAAAATATATAGATAGAAAGTTAGATATATAAGGATAGATGGATAGAAAGATAGATATATAAGGTTAGATGGATAGAAAGATAGAAGAATGGGTACAAAGAAAGATAGACGGAAAGTTAAATATATAAGGATAGATGGATAAAAAGATAGAATTTTAGCTACGCTCAATTTAACAAACGCCTGGTTAAATAATTACTTTATTACTAAATTTATATACTTAAATTTCTAAGAACGTAAAATATTTAATAGGTAGATAGGTGACGTGGCCGGAAGTTGCTCATCTTGCCGCGTCTAGATCTTAGGTTCAAAAACTCCTCAGAAGTCTCGTCTTCCGCCACTACGCCGCCACAGAATAATGGATATAAAGAATGATAGACGGAAAGTTAAATATATAAGGATAGATGGATAAAAAGATAGAAGAATGGATGCATAAATGATAAACATAAATGAAAATATATAGATAGAAAGTTAGATATATATATTACATATAAGGTTCAGATGGATACAAATAAAGATAAACAGAAAGTTAGATATATTTAAGGATAGATAGATAGAAAGTTAAATATATAAGGATAGACGAATAGAAAGATAGATAGAAAGTTAGATATATAAGGATAGATAGATAGAAAGATATAGAATAATGGTTACAAAGAAAGATAGATAGACAGAAAGTTATAAATATAGAAAGGCAGATAGATAGATAGATTTTTAGATACGTAAATTATTAAAACCAAATTGTTTCTCTCATGTAAAAAGATTTTAACATTTTTATCTTTAGCACGATCAGAGAAAGAAATTAACTTTACTAATAAAACTGATATTGCAGCGCGCAATACACTGCATAGTACATAACAAGATGTGCACACTCTCACGCAAGAAACGAGTAGCATTTAGCCTTTTACTGCTTTTAATTTTATGCCAGAAACAAGCGCGTTGCAATTTTGAAATATTTTTGTCTAGGGCTGCAAAAATGTATAAGAAAGTTGGTGAGATTTAACAAAAGGACAATGTGTTGCGACGCTTGAAAAGTTGATAAATAACATTCACACACAGGTCTGCCGCTTTAGTAATTATAAATTAGCGGTACAGTCCAAATTAGGACCGCAAAGGTTGGCCCAGCTCGGATATTCGGATGTAAAATGGTTGTGCGTGTTCAGAGAAGACAGATGGAGAACATAAAATTTACTGCATGCCGGGTCCATTAGCGCCTGATCCATTCAGGGTTCAGTCATGTGTTAGTTGTCTATTCAGAACCAATAGAAATAGTATGGCGGTAACATCTATCTTTCGATCTATCTCATTATCCAATTTATAGAGATATGAATCCTTCAATCGGCGCTATCAGTAAATGGAAATATTTATATATTCAGGGAATAAAAATAAAGAGAAAGGATTGTAATGTAATGTAAACACAAGACGGATGTCACAGCCTGACATGGGATCCATCTTTCACATAATATGGCGGTAACATCTATCTTTCGATCTATCTCATTATCCAATTTATAGAGATATGAATCCTTCAATCGGTGCTATCAGTAAATGGAAATATTTACTTCTACTGAAACTATAGTGTTCAAGATATTGCGGATTATTTATCTTACCTTTCCGGGTATTTAGCGAGACCTCCGATACTGTCATGGATACCAAGCTGTATAGACGCCATCAGTTGGTTCGTTTCAATCTTCTTATACGAGACCTACACAAAAGTATAAGAGTATAAGAGTTGAAAAGTATAAGAGTATGAAAAAGGCAAATTTATCTGGTTTCATATTAGAATCTAAACTATTTTGTTGTTAAAGACGAGAAGTCATTATTGAAAACATAATAAATTTCATTATACGTCCAATTTACTTTAGTTTTACGTGTATTGTCGTCTTCCAATTCCACTTTATTCTGCAGAACTCTGTATGTAGAGTCTTGAAGTTTCTGGTCGTCTACCTAATTCACTTTATTCTACAGAACTCTGTATGTAGAGTCTTTAAGTTTCTGGTCGTCTTGATATTTCACTTTATTCTGAAGAACTCTGTGTAGAGTCTTTAAGTTTCTGGTCGTCTTCCTATTTCACTTTATTCTGCAGAACTCTGTGTAGAGTCTTTAAGTTTCTGGTCGTTTTCCTATTCCACTTTATTCTACAGAACTCTGTGTAAAGTCTTTAAGTTTTGGTTGTCTTCCAATTCCACATGAAAATAAAACATAACTTAAAAACATGTATTATTTCAGGGTTAGGTTAGGTTAAGACAATTTTTGTCGCACTTTTTGACCCCATGTCGTTTTACCCTTTGTCACGTTTTGACCGTTTGTCTTTTGACCCTAGTTCGTTTTAACATATGTCGTTTGACCCTATGTCGGTGAATCTCCTATTCCACTTTATTCTGCAGAACTCTGTATGTAGAGTTTCTAAGTTTTCATCTAGATATTTGCAAACAACTTGGACAATCAGACATTTAACATACACTAAAAGCAGATAAAGTGTTTAAGAAGGAGGGGGGGGGGGG